GAGTACCATCTGAACTAGCACTGCACCAGCATAGAGTAGCATCTGGACTAGCCAGTGATCAGCATAGAGTACCATCTGAACTAGCCCGGCACCAGCATAGAGTACCATCTGCACTAGCCAGTCATCAGCATAGAGTACCATCTGGACTAGCCAGGCAACAGCCTAGAGTAGCATCTGGACTAGCCAGGCACCAGCATAGAGTAGCATCTGAGCTAGACAGGCACCAGCATAGAGTAGCATCTGGACTAGCCGGACACCAACATAGAGTAGTAACTGGACTAGCCGGGCACCAGCATAGAGTAGTAACTGGACTAGCCGGGCACCAGCATAGAGTAGCATCTGGACTAGCCGGACACCAGCATAGAGTAGCATCTGGACTAGACGGGCACCAGCATAGATTACCATCTGGACTAGACGGCCACCAGCATAGGGTAGCATCTTGACTAGCTTGCCACCAGCAAAGAGTACTATCTGGACTAGACGGGCATCAGCATAGAGTAAAATCTGGACTTCCCGGCCACCAGCACAGAGTAGGATCTGGACTAGCCAGGCACCAGCATAGAGTATCATCTGGACCAGCCGGACACCAGCATAGAGTATCATCTGAACTAGCACGGCACCAGCATAGAGTACCATCTGAACTAGCACGGCACCAGCATAGAGTACCATCTGAACTAGCACGGCACCAGCATAGAGTATCATCTGGACCAGCCGGACACCAGCATAGAGTAGCATCTGGACTAGCCAGTGATCAGCATAGAGTACCATCTGAGCTAGCCCGGCACCAGCATAGAGTACCATCTGCACTAGCCAGTCATCAGCATAGAGTACCATCTGAACTAGCCAGGCAACAGCATAGAGTAGCATCTGGACTAGCCAGGCACCAGCATAGAGTAGCATCTGAGCTAGACAGGAACCAGCATAGAGTAGCATCTGGACTAGCCGAACATCAACATAGAGTAGTAACTGGACTAGCCGGGCACCAGCATAGAGTAGTAACTGGACTAGCAGGGCACCAGCATAGAGTAGTAACTGGACTAGCCGGGCACCAGCATAGAGTAGTAACTGGACTAGCCGGACACCAGCATAGAGAAGTAACTGGACTAGCCGGACACCAACATAGAGTAGTAACTGGACTAGTCGGGCACAAGCATAGAGTAGTAACTGGACTAGCCGGGCACCAGCATAGAGTAGTAACTGGACTAGCCGGACACCAGCATAGAGTACCATCTGGACCAGCTGGACACCAGCATAGAGTACCATCTGGACTTGCCAGGCACCAACATAGAGAAGCAACTGGACTAGCCGGACACCAGCATAGAGTAGTAACTGGACTAGCCGGGCACCAGCATAGAGTAATAACTGGACTAGCTGGACACCAGCATAGAGTACCATCTTGACTAGCTGGACACCAGCAAAGAGTACCATCCGGACTTGACAGGCACCAACATAGAGTAATAACTGGACTAGCTGGACACCAGCATAGAGTACCATCTGGACTTGCCAGGCACCAGCATAGAGTAGTAACTGGACTAGCTGGACACCAGCATAGAGTACCATCTGGACTAGCTGGACACCAGCATAGAGTACCATCTGGACTTGCCAGGCACCAGCATAGAGTAGTAACTGGACTAGCCGGACACCAACATAGAGTACCATCTGGACTAGCCGGGCACCAGCATAGAGTACCATCTGGACTAGCCGGACACCAGCATAGAGTAGTAACTGGACTAGCCGGGCACCAGCATAGAGTAATAACTGGACTAGCCGGACACCAACATAGAGTAGTAACTGGACTAGCCGGACACCAGCATAGAGTAGTAACTGGACTAGCCGGACACCAGCATAGAGTAGTAACTGGACTAGCCGGACACCAGCATAGAGTACCATCTGGACTAGCCAGACACCAGCATAGAGTACCATCTGGACTAGCCGGACACCAGCATAGAGTACCATCTGGACTAGCCGGGCACCAGCATAGAGTAGTAACTGGACTAGCCAGACACCAAATATGGACTAGCATCTGGACTAGGCTGGCACCAAACATACAATAGCAGCTGGACTAGCTGGGGAACAGCATAGAGTAGCGTGTAGGGTAGCCAGGCACCAGCACAGAGCAGCATGTAGGGTAGCCAGGCACCAGCATAGAGCAGCATGTAGGGTTGCCAGGCACCAGCACAGAGCCATCTGAACTAGCACGGCACCAGCATAGAGTATCATCTGGACCAGCCGGACACCAGCATAGAGTACCATCTGAACTAGCACTGCACCAGCATAGAGTAGCATCTGGACTAGCCAGTGATCAGCATAGAGTACCATCTGAACTAGCCCGGCACCAGCATAGAGTACCATCTGCACTAGCCAGTCATCAGCATAGAGTACCATCTGAACTAGCCAGGCAACAGCATAGAGTAGCATCTGGACTAGCCAGGCACCAGCATAGAGTAGCATCTGAGCTAGACAGGCACCAGCATAGAGTAGCATCTGGACTAGCCGGACATCAACATAGAGTAGTAACTAGACTAGCCGGGCACCAGCATAGAGTAGTAACTGGACTAGCCAGGCACCAGCATAGAGTAGTAACTGAACTAGCCGGGCACCAGCATAGAGTAGTAACTTGACTAGCCGGACACCAGCATAGAGTAGTAACTGGACTAGCCGGACACCAGCATAGAGTAATAACTGGACTAGCCGGGCACCAGCATAGAGTACCATCTGGACTAGCCGGACACCAGCATAGAGTAGTAACTGGACTAGCCGGACACCAACATAGAGTAGTAAGTGGACTAGCTGGACACCAGCATAGAGTACCATCTGGACTAGCCGGACACCAGCATAGAGTAGTAACTGGACTAGCCGGGCACCAGCATAAAGTAATAACAGGACTAGCCGGACACCAACATAGAGTAGTAACTGGACTAGCTGGACACCAGCATAGAGCAGTAACTGGACTAGCCGGACACCAACATAGAGTAGTAAGTGGACTAGCTGGACACCAGCAAAGAGTAATAACTGGACTAGCCGGACACCAGCATAGAGTAGTAACTGGACTAGCCGGGCACCAGCATAGAGTAATAACTGGACTAGCCGGACACCAACATAGAGTAGTAACTGGACTAGCCGGACACCAGCATAGAGTAGTAACTGGACTAGCCGGACACCAACATAGAGTAGTAAGTGGACTAGCTGGACACCAGCATAGAGTAATAACTGGACTAGCCGGACACCAGCATAGAGTAGTAACTGGACTAGCCGGGCACCAGCATAGAGTAATAACTGGACTAGCCGGACACCAACATAGAGTAGTAACTGGACTAGCTGGACACCAGCATAGAGCAGTAACTGGACTAGCCGGACACCAACATAGAGTAGTAAAGTGGACTAGCTGGACACCAGCATAGAGTAATAACTGGACTAGCCGGACACCAGCATAGAGTAGTAACTGGACTAGCCGGGCACCAGCATAGAGTAATAACTGGACTAGCCGGACACCAACATAGAGTAGTAACTGGACTAGCCGGACACCAGCATAGAGTAGTAACTGGACTAGCCGGACACCAGCATAGAGTACCATCTGGACTAGCCGGACACCAGCATAGAGTATCATCTGGACTAGCCGGACACCAGCATAGAGTACCATCTGGACTAGCCGGACACCAGCATAGAGTACCATCTGGACTAGCCGGACACCAGCATAGAGTACCATCTGGACTAGCCGGGCACCAGCATAGAGTAGTAACTGGACTAGCCAGACACCAAATATGGACTAGCATCTGGACTAGGCTGGCACCAAACATACACTAGCAGCTGGACTAGCTGGGGAACAGCATAGAGTAGCATGTAGGGTAGCCAGGCACCAGCACAGAGCAGCATGTATGGTAGCCAGGCACCAGCACAGAGCAGCATGTAGGGTAGCCAGGCACCAGCACAGAGCAGCATGTAGGGTTGCCAGGCACCAGCACAGAGAGGCAAGTAGGGTAGCCAGGCACCAGCACAGAGCAGCATGTAGGGTAGCCAGGCACCAGCACAGAGCAGCATGTAGGGTAGCCAGGCACCAGCACAGAGCAGCATGTAGGGGTTGCCAGGCACCAGCACAGAGAGGCAAGTAGGGTAGCCAGGCACCAGCACAGAGCAGCATGTAGGGTAGCCAGGCACCAGCACAGAGCAGCATGTAGGGTAGCCAGGCACCAGCACAGAGCAGCATGTAGGGTTGCCAGGCACCAGCACAGAGCAGCAAGTAGGGTAGCCAGGCACCAGCATAGAGTAGCATGGAGGGTAGCCAGGCACCAGCACAGAGCAGCATGTAGGGTAGCCAGGCACCAGCACAGAGCAGCATGTAGGGTAGCCAGGCATGAGAGGGCAGCGTCATTCTGCAGTGCTCCGTCGTGTGAAGTCATTGATCTTTGCCACAAGTTACGTACGTGACAATATGGCTACAAACTCTAACCATAAACTGCTTGTCTTGTCTATTCACCATCAGAAGGACATATGGAAACCCTTTCCTTTGCGAGGAAGAACACACATGTAGACTTATAATGAAAGCTTTAAGACATGAGTAACTGAGGATATCGTCATGAGAATTGAAATAGAAACTACGGACAATGATATGTTGTGATATCTTCCCGCCATTCCCCACACTATGAGCTTGTGTAGGACACGTGTACAGCCACAGCTAACGTTGACTGCGGCGACCTCCCTTGCTGTATCACGTACAATACAGACGCTGGTACACTCACTTTATTCCCTTAGTATTTCTGTGAGCATCAACCGAGAACTTAACACAATCACGTTTTCCAAAAAATACAATTCAGTTTGAGACGCCATCCGTCCCCCCCCCCCCCCGTCCCCCTGCACATAGTTGGCACACATACCTACAATGTCTTACATCAGTATATGCATACCTGAGATACCTAACAGTAATACATGCATACTTCAGCATACCTGCAATAACAGCGATATATTCCTGTATACTCACTCCATAGATGTACAAAGGTACTCACCGGTCGGCCGTCGGTCCCGGGGGGTCCTCTGCCTCCGTCTCTACCCCTCTCGCCTGGGTCCCCCTTAAAGTAGAGATAACGCACCCGTGAGGACTGTTGCAATGAAGGGAAGGTAGCTATGTGCACTAGGAGTAGCAACCGGAACGACAGTATCTCCCTCATATCGACCTCCCGTACACACGCTCCTCCCGTCGGTCCTGTAGTCACTACTGGCGAGGGGAATAGAGCGCCGGACGGACAGTAGTCGTGATATGTACCGCAGGCTCGCGGTGAGGGGAACGCTCCACCGGTCTCTCATGCACGGGAGGGAGGGAAGGGGAGGGGAGGGAGCGGTGACTATATAAGCAATCTGGAAGAATAACTTACTTACGGAATAAATGCATGTATGTCACTGGGAGGTGTAAACATGGAGGGGTAAGAGGAGTTGAAGTGTGCTGCACAAAGAGTGGCGCTGATTTATGGAGTCAGGAAGCAGGGTTGTGTCCTGGGAGGGCGATGGATACACAAAAAGTGTATATTTGTGAGAGAAGTGTAAAGACTGAATGTATAACGACTGTAATGTAAATCCGCTATAGTGTATAGACTATTTGTGAGAGAAGTGTAAAGACTGGATGTATAACGACTGTAATGTAAGTCCGCTATAGTGTATAGACTATTTGTGAGAGAAGTGTAAAGACTGGATGTATAACGACTGTAATGTAAGTCCGCTATAGTGTATAGACTATTTGTGAGAGAAGTGTAAAGACTGGATGTATAACGACTGTAATGTAAGTCCGCTATAGTGTATAGACTATTTGTGAGAGAAGTGTAAAGACTGGATGTATAACGACTGTAATGTAAGTCCGCTATAGTGTATAGACTATTTGTGACAGAAGTGTAAAGACTGGATGTATAACGACTGTAATGTAAGTCCGCTATAGTGTATAGACTATTTGTGAGAGAAGTGTAAAGACTGGATGTATAACGACTGTAATGTAAGTCCGCTATAGTGTATAGACTATTTGTGAGAGAAGTGTAAAGACTGGATGTATAACGACTGTAATGTAATTTGTGAGTCCGCTATAGTGTATAGACTATTTGTGAGAGAAGTGTAAAGACTGGATGTATAACGACTGTAATGTAAGTCCGCTATAGTGTATAGACTATTTGTGAGAGAAGTGTAAAGACTGGATGTATAACGACTGTAATGTAAGTCCGCTATAGTGTATAGACTATTTGTGAGAGAAGTGTAAAGACTGGATGTATAACGACTGTAATGTAAGTCCGCTATAGTGTATAGACTATTTGTGAGAGAAGTGTAAAGACTGGATGTATAACGACTGTAATGTAAGTCCGCTATAGTGTATAGACTATTTGTGAGAGAAGTGTAAAGACTGGATGTATAACGACTGTAATGTAAGTCCGCTATAGTGTATAGACTATTTGTGAGAGAAGTGTAAAGACTGGATGTATAACGACTGTAATGTAAGTCCGCTATAGTGTATAGACTATTTGTGAGAGAAGTGTAAAGACTGGATGTATAACGACTGTAATGTAAGTCCGCTATAGTGTATAGACTATTTGTGAGAGAAGTGTAAAGACTGAATATATAACGACTGTAATGTAAGTCCGCTATAGTGTATAGACTATTTGTGAGAGAAGTGTAAAGACTGGATGTATAACGACTGTAATGTAAGTCCGCTATAGTGTATAGACTATTTGTGAGAGAAGTGTAAAGACTGGATGTATAACGACTGTAATGTAAGTCCGCTATAGTGTATAGACTATTTGTGAGAGAAGTGTAAAGACTGGATGTATAACGACTGTAATGTAAGTCCGCTATAGTGTATAGACTATTTGTGAGAGAAGTGTAAAGACTGGATGTATAACGACTGTAATGTAAGTCCGCTATAGTGTATAGACTATTTGTGAGAGAAGTGTAAAGACTGGATGTATAACGACTGTAATGTAAGTCCGCTATAGTGTATAGACTATTTGTGAGAGAAGTGTAAAGACTGGATGTATAACGACTGTAATGTAAGTCCGCTATAGTGTATAGACTGTTTGTGAGAGAAGTGTAAAGACTGGATGTATAACGACTGTAATGTAAGTCCGCTATAGAACTAACGTTCAGCTTTGACAGAATAGGACTGACTGACTGAGTTTAGTTTTACGCTGCTTTTAGCAATATTCCAGCAATATCACGATGGGGGACACCAGAAATGGGCTTCACACATTGTGCCCAGAGGGAATAGGAGGGTTACGTCACATCATAGTACAAGTTAAGTCGTTATACGTCATGTAGATGTAAGTACCCCTCACTTACTCTTCACAAAGAAAACCTGCTCGGTACAGTTCACTGCAACCTGAGAAGAAAGTTGGACAGGCCGGTTAAAGACGAGGCGAAATGGGCAGACGTTGACAACTTAGCGTCCGTCTGGAAGCTCAGTGTTAAGTTCAGATCGACATAATTGTGGTTAGGATTCTGAGCTATACATCGTAAACCCCTTGCGTGTTTCCGTCATAGGCATTCCTTGACAAGATGCTATGAGTCCGATCGTTACAAAAGATGACGTTGCATGTGACCTATCTGCACTGCGTCGAATTACTGTAAAGCGTCCACAGTAATAGTATGAGAGAGAGAGAGAGAGAGAGAGGGGGAGAGAGGGAGGGAGGGAGAGAGAGAGAGAGAGAGAGAGAGAGAGAGAGAGAGAGAGAGAGAGAGAGAGAGAGAGAGAAGAGACAGAGACAGAGAGAGAGAGAGACAGAGAAAAGAGACAGAGAGAGACACAGAGAGAGGCATTTGGCGCTGTACGTAATGTTGGGCGGGGTCATGTGAATGTTAGTGAGGAGGGTTTGTGAGTGTGAGTTGGGGGAGGTTGCCTCGGTGAGATGGGGTGGGGTGGGGGAGGTCTTATACCCAGGGAGGTCAGAGGGATATATATATATATGACTCGTTCACCATCTGCTCATCCACAAGTGATGTCCCTGCTCTTGGCAAGACTTGGAAATATACCAGATTTTGAAGAACCGACAGTGAGGAAACTGGTTCTACTCTGAATACAAACATTTGTATATTTCAGAGGGTAATTGTATTGAGCTGGCTATCCCTGTTCCGCTGTACCTACCTTGATTCCATCGGCTCCTGGCAGTCCTGGGTTGCCCTGTACACCTGCGGGACCCTGAAACAACCAACAGTGGACACATTAAAGGCAAACCTGGCTGATGTTTTAGGTATGTACAATTAGTAACATCAAACTAATAGTCAAACATTATATTTAGGCCACTACTCCGGTCAGTCCTAGATAGGGCAACGTTCGTGATGCCCTAACCTCTCATTGTAGCGTCCACCTCCACACCGCAACGTTAATTTAAGGTCAGGCGCAAGGTCACGGAGACAGTCGGTGGAGAAAATGTTGGCTGGGGAAATTCATAATTTCTTGAAAGGTTTTAAGGCTGTACCACCGTTTAAAGGCTAAATGTCAAACATGTTTAAGTTCCGTGACGTCTGGTTTTACATTCAAACAACAATGACCTTGCACGTTTAAACACGTTCAAGGGCGACATGTCGTTATTAAGACAATTCTGATTGACGTCATTGTTACAACAGCTCACACTCAATAAACCATGGAATGATTGTTACAGCAGTGCATGACTCGTATCATATCATGAATGGCATAAACCATCCAAAATTGAACATAACGTGAATCCACCGATTTGGATTCACACTTATGGGTGTCAAGTGAGCAGGGACAGTTTACAGTTATAGATCTGATGTCAGTCCAGTGAAAGGCAGCAGTTTACTTTTATATCTAATACTACAGTGCATGGTGCAACGGAGAATCATAATCGATGTTATTCTTGACAGGGACCAACGATGAGCGGATCCGTTAGGCCGCCGGTGCGTGATGTTTGAGGATACCAAACATAGACACTGTTTCATAGTCCAGGATCACCGTACCCTTGATATAGAAGCCCCCGCCTCCCTTTACATAGGGTAACGGTTTAAACACTTTAAAAATACTCATTATTGAAACAGGCATGACATGAAAGTTGCGGTAACTGCCTATACCACATGGGCTGTAATACAATACGCTTGTGGTATGGTCCTCGAGACGTTTAGCTCTTAGTTGCATTTTTCAAATATCATTGAAATAGGCGGTTGATGCCTAGTTAGCCTGCTTAATGAAATCCTGTCCCAAATCCGCCTCCACGGGCAGCCCTCCGCATCACGTATAGAATCCCTGCATCAGCTGTTTCAGCTGAGACACTGCGTGACTAAAACATATGCTCAGTTGAACTACTTGCCAGAAATGTTGAAATGTTCGATTTGCTCTGTTGCGGTATGCAGGGGTATTTTAAACTCGGTTAATAGGTTAAGAACATATTCGGGACGAGGCCATAAAGGGTCGAGTTTTTATTAGTTTACAAGTAGAAAGTCTGCGTCAGAGCCGTCACTACATACCGGGACAGTGATGACATTATGCTGCACCAGTGACATTGATGACATACAACACCAGTGACAATGATGACATACAACACCAGTGACAATGATGACATTATGCAGCACCAGTGACAATGATGACATACAGCACCAGTGACAATGATGACATTATGCATCACCAGTGACAATGATGACGTTATGCAGCACCAGTGTCAATGATGACATACAGCACCAGTGACAATGATGACATACAGCACCAGTGACAATGATGACATTATGCAGCACCAGTGACAATGATGACGTTATGCAGCACCAGTGTCAATGATGACATTATGCAGCACCAGTGACAATGATGACATACAGCACCAGTGACAATGATGACATTATGCAGCACCAGTGACAATGATGACATTATGCAGCACCAGTGACAATGATGACATACAGCACCAGTGACAATGATGACATTATGCAGCACCAGTGACAATGATGACATACAGCACCAGTGATAATGATGACATTATGCAGCACCAGTGACAATGATGACATGATGCAGCACCAGTGACAATGATGACATGATGCAGCACCAGTGACAATGATGACATTATGCATGACATGATGACATGCAGCACCAGTGACAATGATGACATACAACACCAGTGACAATGATGACATACAGCACCAGTGACAATGATGACATGATGGAGCACCAGTGACAATGATGACATACAGCACCAGTGACAATGATGACATTATGCAGCACCAGTGACAATGATGACATACAGCACCAGTGACAATGATGACATTATGCAGCACCAGTGACAATGATGACATTATGCAGCACCAGTGACAATGATGACATGATGCAGCACCAGTGACAATGATGACATACAGCACCAGTGACAATGATGACATTATGCAGCACCAGTGACAATGATGACATACAGCACCAGTGACAATGATGACATGATGCAGCACCAGTGACAATGATGACATACAGCACCAGTGACAATGATGACATTATGCAGCACCAGTGACAATGATGACATTATGCAGCACCAGTGACAATGATGACATACAGCACCAGTGACAATGATGACATACAGCACCAGTGACAATGATGACATTATGCAGCACCAGTGACAATGATGACATTATGCAGCACCGGTGACAATGATGACATGATGCAGCAACAGTGACAATGATGACATACAGCACCAGTGACAATGATGACATACAGCACCAGTGACAATGATGACATTATGCAGCACCAGTGACAATGATGACATTATGCAGCACCAGTGACAATGATGACATTATGCAGCACCAGTGACAATGATGACATACAGCACCAGTGACAATGATGACATACAGCACCAGTGACAATGATGACATTATGCAGCACGTGACAATGATGACATTATGCAGCACCAGTGACAATGATGACATACAGCACCAGTGACAATGATGACATACAGCACCAGTGACAATGATGACATTATGCAGCACCAGTGACAATGATGACATTATGCAGCACCAGTGACAATGATGACATTATGCTGCAACAGTGACAATGATGACATACAGCACCAGTGACAATGATGACATACAGCACCAGTGACAATGATGACATACAGCACCAGTGACAATGATGACATACAGCACCAGTGACAATGATGACATTATGCAGCACCAGTGACAATGATGACATGATGCAGCACCAGTGACAATGATGACATTATGCAGCACCAGTGACAATGATGACATACAGCACCAGTGACAATGATGACATACAGCACCAGTGACAATGATGACATTATGCAGCACCAGTGACAATGATGACATGATGCAGCACCAGTGACAATGATGACATACAGCACCAGTGACAATGATGACATTATGCAGCACCAGTGACAATGATGACATTATGCTGCAACAGTGACAATGATGACATACAGCACCAGTGACAATGATGACATACAGCACCAGTGACAATGATGACATGATGCAGCACCAGTGACAATGATGACATTATGCAGCACCAGTGACAATGATGACATTATGCAGCACCAGTGACAATGATGACATACAGCACCAGTGACAACAATGACCGTATGATAAAAATGCAGTACTGACAGTATTCCTACTTATTCAAAGAATGGTAATATTTACTTCCTGTCAAAGAGTGGTGATGCTACTTATGGTCACAAGTACAACTAGATTATCTGTAGACAGACTTGGGTTGGGTCATCCTGTGGGGCCTCTCTTCTGGGCTGGGCTGATATACGGAGCAACTGTTCAATTACTGCTGCCGTCAGTAAATACACAAACATACCGCGCGTACACAACCACAATGTGGACAGCAAATATACATTCACACCATACTGGGCCGAAGTGGTCAATTATAATGCAATACTACATATTCTGCCAACGTATCTGTTAACATTTCTCAGCCGCTGAACTGTTGCTGGTGGCCTGTAACTAGGCATGCTACTGTGATTACGTCAATTATAGTTATGTACATTGAAACGATGAGGGAGTCAAATATTGGGTGATCATCTTTAGCGAAAGTGTCTACACAGCGTACAGGAGCGCTAGGAATAGTGCTGAGATAAATCCATTCTCTCTCCATGGAATAATTTTGGCACTGTCAGCGTCGCACGCCGAGTCCCTCCGTCATTGACAACGAGCCCTTCAGGAGGTGAAAACCTTTACGTTGGCACCGAGTCCCTCCGTCATTGACAACGAGCCCTTCAGGAGGTGAAAGCCTTTATGTTGGCACCGAGTCCCTCCGTCATTGACAACGAGCCCTTCAGGAGGTGAAAACCTTTATGTTGGCACCGAGTCCCTCCGTCATTGATAACGAGCCCTTCAGGAGGTGAAAACCTTTATCTTGGCACCGAGTCCCTCCGTCATTGACAACGAGCCCTTCAGGTGAGTTGGCACCGAGTCCCTGATAACGGCCCTTCAAGGTAAAAACCTTTACCTTGGCACCGAGTCAGGGTCAGCGTCGTGCACTGGTAATCCCGCCGTCATGACGCGACGATTGTGAGGTTAGACCACGTAATGATGATATGGAAGAGCAAGCTCTCTGTCGCCCTGATCTTAACCCAGTCCTAAATTACAATTAATGAAACACTTATGTGTTCTCCGTCCCCTGCTGTCGGGGTTGATGCAGCTGAGATCGGGGTGGGCTTGTGACAGGAGGAGCGCTGGGAACGCCTTGTGGGAGAGAGGAGCATTGGGATTGTCGACTTCTCTCTTAGCAATTTGTACCAGATGGCCTTTAGCTATATGTTGGCACCGAGACCTCCGTCATTGATAACGGCCCTTCAGGAGGTAAAACCTTTACCTTTGTTATAGATGGTTGGTCATAACAGTCTCTACAGGGGACCGTGTGCCATTGCTCAGAGTTCGACCGAAATATTGCCATCATTACAAAACATAACGATAGATGGACAGGGTACTGCACAGGGCTGACCTTTACAGGAGACGAAACCTTTAGTCGTGAGACAGCACCGTAAGAAGAGCCTAGCCTGACCTTGTAGTAGTGCCCAGACTGACCGTAGTAGTGCCCAGACTGACCCGCAGTAGTGCCTAGACTGACCGGGCACTGACCGTAGCTGACCGTAGTAGTCCCAGACTGACGTCATAGTGCCCTAGACTGCGACACCTGAGCACCAGTGGTCAGCGTCGTGCACTGGTAATCCCGCCGTCATGACGCGACGATTGTGAGTGTTAGATGGATTAATAAGTGAACACGTAATGATGATATGGAAGAGCAAGCATGTACAGCTGCTCGCAACTCTGTCGCCCTGATCTTAACCCAGTCCTAAATTACCAATTAATGAAACACTTATGTGTTCTCCGTCCCTGCTGTCGGGGTTGATGCAGCTGAGATCGGGGTGGGGCTTGTGACAGGAGGAGCGCTGGGAACGCCTTGTGGGAGAGAGGAGCATTGGGATTGTCGACTTCTCTCTTAGCTATTTGTACTAGATGGCGCTGCTATAGGATAAGACTGGTTTCTGTGTATGCTTGCGCAGCTGCCTTAGCGTATATAGGGTGTCTGCAGAAGACATTATGGGAAGAGACACCGTGTACTTAATTTTTATCTCAGAGTTCGAGAAATATTGCCATCATTACAAACATAACGATAGATGGACAGGTACTGGGAAACAGTCTCTTACAGGGGGACGAAACATTGTCGATGAGACAGACCGTAAGAAGAGCCTAGCCTGACTTGTAGTAGTGCCCAGACTGACCGTAGTAGTGCCCAGACTGACCCGCAGTAGTGCCTAGACTGACCGTAGTAGTGCCCAGACTGACCCGCAGTAGTGCCTAGACTGACCGTAGTAGTGCCCAGACTGACCCGCAGTAGTGCCTAGACTGACCCGTAGTAGTGCCCAGACTGACCCGCAGTAGTGCCTAGACTGACCGTAGTAGTGCCCAGACTGACCCGTAGTTGTGCAAGACTGACCCGTAGTGGTGCCTTCACTGACCCGTAGTAGTGCCTAGACTGAACGGTAGTAGTGCCCCGACAGACCCGTAGCAGTGCCCAGACTGACCCGTAGTAGTGCCCAGTTGCCCAACCGGAGAATCTACACTGACCCCAAAAGACACAGCAGGGCGTCGGAAAGTGTAGGCACTGGCGTGGGAAGCCTGCATGTGGGAACTTCACCAGAAAGTAGGGGTATTGAGTCCTGGTGACACGACGTGGCTACTCACCGGTCTGCCGTCGGCTCCGGTAGGTCCAGCATCCCCCCGCTCGCCTTCATCTCCCTGCAACACACATCTGGTTCATCATACCAATACATTATACACCGTCCTGCTTATCCAGCACAGCATTATGTGTACAACAGTAGAGAGCATGTTGATGTACTGTACTGTATGTATATAGGTTTGTGTACGTGCCGGCTACACCAGGCTCACGACGCAGTGTAACACCGATACCCCACTCCGACACAGTAGAGTGTATCAACTCATCCCCATAATGCCAGACAAGGCAACAACAAGTAGCATCTGCCTTCTCATTGCAGACCATTTACTTGGCTCTGCGACGCTTGATGATTTTAAGAACAACTTTTCCTAGCGTGGCATCAGCTCCAGGCTGGCTATTCGCGAAACGGTTTTAAACACAGAGGCTACGATCAAAATTAAGAATTGTTAGGGCTACGAACGTTTCGAGAATAAGTCCCTGTTCCACCAAGCGATCTTGGCGCTACTACGATGAACGTAAACCTATGTTAAAGGATGGGAGTTACGACCTCCGCGGCGCTCGGATCGCTTTGTGAAACGGGCCTCACGAATCAATCACAGAGTATAGAAATATCAGCTAAGTGTCATGATTGAAGTTAATGAGCGTTTACTATATTTGTATACACTGCTATGATAGTCGCGGTTATAGACGCATACACTGCTATGATAGTCTCGGTTACAGACGCATACACTGCTATGATAGTCGCGGTTACACACGCATACACTGCTATGATAGTCGCGGTTACAGACGCATACACTGCTTTGATAGTCGCGGTTACAGACGCATACACTGCTATGATAGTCGCGGTTACAGACGCGTACACTGCTATGATAGTCGCGGTTACAGACGCGTACACTGCTATGATAGTCGCGGTTATAGACGCGTACACTGCTATGATAGTCGCGGTTATAGACGCGTACACTGCTATGATAGTCGCGGTTATAGACGCGTACACTGCTATGATAGTCGCGGTTACAGACGCATACACTGCTATGATAGTCGCGGTTATAGACGCATACACTGCTATGATAGTCGCGGTTACAGACGCATACACTGCTATGATAGTCGCGGTTACATAAGCATACACTGCTATGATAGTCGCGGTTACAGACGCATACACTGCTATGATAGTCGCGGTTATAGACGCATACACTGCTATGATAGTCGCGGTTATAGACGCATACACTGCTATGATAGTCGCGGTTACAGACGCATACACTGCTATGATAGTCGCGGTTACAGACGCATACTCTGCTATGATAGTCGCGGTTATAGACCCATACACTGCTATGATAGTCGCGGTTACAGACGCATACACTGCTATGATAGTCGCTGTTACAGACGCATACACTGCTATGATAGTCGCGGTTAAAGACGCATACAGTGTTAACACGAGTAACGGTAAACCAGATTGCTGCAGGTTGTTTCCATTGGACACTTCAGTACTTCCGGCTCTTCAAGGCGAGGTATCACGGCGTACCGACACACAAGGAGTTTGGTTTGTATAGTTACCTGAAGTGTTACTCGCTCCTTGTTGATTGAAAAAACATTCAGAAATCACTTGAGATAAGCTCAAGCGGTGCTTACTGAGGGCATTGTGGCTTTTACGTCATCATGCAGGCGCCTTCACAGACATTGTCGGTAGCGCTGTAAAATTAGCACACTCAGCAATTTTGAAAAGAACAATTGTGCTTCAGGGGTTACAAGCCAACGTGTTTGAAAATGAGGGTTACTGCAGATATATTTACCTACTTTAGGGTGGGTGGGTTACCCCTTTGAGCGGTTCGAGAACGCAGCGTTAATCAAACACTCACTTGTACTTAGTGATTGCTCTCGTAACATTAATTACAAGTCAGTAGGTTTCAACCCAATTCTGCTTAACCCCTCAATTAAACCAAACCAAGTCAAACACGTGAGAAAGATATTCTCATTTCCATATCGGATCATTATAGAAGTCGGTGACAGATGTCCGACATTCCGCTGTAAAGAGAGGCTGGTGTACTCGAAGTACTGGAGCGAGTCGACTGATCAAGTCCTCTGATACCCAGCACCACGGTGTAGGCTTACATACAGGTTGACTGACGACTGCCTCAACCCACGGGACCCACCCCAGGGATGGCTGGGTAGCGAACCTATCCTGTGAAACTCTACACAGCGGCAAGAGTCTGACCAGCTTACTTCATTACCGCGTTGTTGAAACACAACAATCCCGGGGCAAAACTCGACAACCACAACCATGGGTTTTATAGGGCACACAAAGACTCATATAGGATGTCCAGGTTAATATTGAGATTAGAAAACAACCATCTGACCAGGATTGGCGACAACTCGCTGATATGTTTATTACAGTTTCTTGATATCAAAGCACTGCTTTGTTTACGTTACTATACATAATACATGCCGTTGTACATGTCACACCCTTCCCACTAATAGCTAGGTGGGAAATATACTGCGTGCCTTGGTGTAGTGGAGTTAGTGAGTGAGTTGGACTGTACGTCTCATTAGGCAATCGGCTTACTGATCTTGTGTGTTCTAGTGGAGCGAACACTTTTAGTACTAAGCTACCTCCAATCTCCAGGGAGAGCTGAAGTGTGTATACGTGTCTGTCTCATTAAAGCCATTTGTCGTGATGATGTTACAGATGACGACCTTACCTTGGGGCCGATGTAGCCCTTGTCACCTGGTTGTCCGGGATCCCCCTGAAGAAGACAGTGGTAGATTAGCGAGGACGACATTTGAAAGGCTTCAGTCAGCCAGTATGTCAGTCAGTAAGATGGAATATGCTAAGCGTTCTCTATGATCAAACCGTGTTTCAGGGAAACAAACAATCTTCGATCACTTTAAGACAGCATGATAACCCCTCCACTTGATGGTTGTTTATTAGTGCATTGTTTATTTTAGTTAGTCTTAACAGCAACGGTTATTTATCTGACGTCAGTAGGTAACAGAAAGTGACCACTTGACAATGTTAATTGACCAACAGAGTACAACCGGCATCAACACGTTACCCGGCTGACAACAGTTGGCGTAATAGTGCAAACGTATGATACCCGGATCACATACTAGTACACCCCTTTCAAGTAACCATTTATTGGATGTTCCACTTGATGCCTCCATTATGCATGGGTTTGTACATTCTTCTACCCGGAAGTTGAGTCTTACCCAAACACCTCGAGATGGATATTGTGGGCAAGACACTGTGCCACCCCAGGGTCTGTTACCCCAACATGCCCGGTCCTTTTCATATATAGAGATGTAAATGTTCTCGTACTGACATATGTTGGGTGATATGTACAGAGCGACACGCTATAGCCTATGCGTTAACGTGAAGTTGGTGTTGTTCAATATCCCCCAGCCGCAATGGCAACAGAGCAGATCTGGAGAATTCATGCGTGATATGTATATAGAATAAAGACGCTGATCCGTCGGTCAATTTATACCACATTCTAAAATGCAACCTGAATATATGAAACCCCTTAATCAACACCAGTGTTAGGGAGGTAGAGTGAGTGAGTTAGTGAGTTTAGTTTTACTCCACTCCACTCCTTGTACCCATGTGGGGAATCGAACCTGGGTGTTCAGCTTGATGAGCGAACGCTGTAACTACTCGGCTACCCCTCCGCCGGGAGGTAGAAGCTAGCACCAGCAAAAGTGGGGTTGACCCGGAGTGGGTGTATCGCCGGGGGTAGCAGCACCAGCATGTGGGGATGACCCGGAGTGGGTGTATCGCCGGGAGGTAGAAGCTAGCACCAGCACGAGTGGGGTTGACCCGGAGTGGGTGTATCGCCGGGAGGTAGAAGCTAGCACCAGCACAAGTGGGGTTGACCCGGAGTGGGTGTATCGCCGGGAGGTAGAAGCTAGCACCAGCACGAGTGGGGTTGACCCTGAGTGGGTGTATCGCCGGGAGGTAGAAGCTAGCACCAGCATGAGTGGGGTTGACCCGGAGTGGGTGTATCGCCGGGAGGTAGAAGCTAGCACCAGCACAAGTGGGGTTGACCCGGAGTGGGTGTATCGCCGGGAGGTAGAAGCTAGCACCAGCACAAGTGGGAATGACCCTGGTGGGTGTATCGCCGGGAGGTAGAAGCTAGCACCAGCATGAGTGGGGTTGACCCGGGAGTGGTGTATCGCCGGGAGGTAGAAGCTAGCACCAGCACAAGTGGGGTTGACCCGGAGTGGGTGTATCGCCGGAGGTGAAGCTAGCACCAGCACAAGTGGGGGTTGACCCTGAGTGGGTGTATCGCCGGGGGTAGAAGCTAGCACCAGCATGAGTGGGGTTGACCCGGAGTGGGTGTATCGCCGGGAGGTAGAAGCTAGCACCAGCATGAGTGGGGTTGACCCGGAGTGGGTGTATCGCCGGGAGGTAGAAGCTAGCACCAGCACAAGTGGGGTTGACCCGGAGTGGGTGTATCGCCGGGAGGTAGAAGCTAGCACCAGCACAAGTGGGGTTGACCCTGAGTGGGTGTATCGCCGGGGGGTAGAAGCTAGCACCAGCATGAGTGGGGTTGACCCTGAGTGGGTGTATCGCCGGGGGTAGAAGCTAGCACCAGCACGAGTGGGGTTGACCCTGAGTGGGTGTATCGCCAGTACGGAGTGTAGGGTAATTGGATCCCCCATTAACACAGGACTGATTGTATCACAACCATCATAGGACGGGAGGGGAAAACATTCAGGTTATACAGATTACTTTTATTTGATGGAGCTATTTACTCATATTTCATTGGTCATAAACGGAATGATCAGGTGGAGAGTCAGGTGTGATGGGAACCTGTATCTCCGACCGCATCTCGCGGAACCGTGTACACAGTGTACTGGCGTGATCATGTCTACATTTACACACATTCCTGCTCCGGAAACACACTTGGTGATGGAGCGTTCAGCACTTCCCCGTCACTACCTACCTGTCACCCTGCCTCCCAATCGCAGATCCATGTCTCTCCTTGTCACATTCCCATTCATATCATGATTTATACTCACTTTATCCTTCTCTCACTCCGCCAACCATCGCGTCACTCACTCTGCCTTTTTCTCCAACGTTAACTCCGCCTCTAGGTCCATGCCATTCTGTCCCTCATTCCATTTCACACTCCATCTTTCATTCCGTCACTCACTACCTAAGTCACCTAGGTCACCTCGTCTCTCTCTCTCTCTCTCTCTCTCTCTCTCTCTCTCTCTCTCTCTCTCTCTCTCTCTCTCTCTCTCTCTCTCTCTCTCTCTCTCTCTCTCTCTCTTTCTCTCATTACAAAGAAAATGCTATTTCCATAGCTTGTAGAATTTACTTACAGGAATGCCAGGTTCGCCCTTTGTTCCAGGTGTTCCAGCGACTCCGCGTTGTCCCTGCAACATCACCACAGTCAGTGTCAGGAGAACCAACCCTCCACACCACTGTACCGGCATTATCATATATACATAGGTTGTATCAGCGACTGGTATAACAACAATCTCTGTATCACCCTAGGTACCTGCGTATTGTATAACAACAATCACTGGGCTTCAGATTGTACCTTCGTATAGTATAACAACAATCACTGGGCTTCAGATTGTACCTTCGTATAGTATAACAACAATCACTGGGGTTAGGATTGTACCTTCGTATAGTATAACAACAATCACTGAGGTTAGGATTGTACCTGCGTATAGTATAACAACAATCACTGAGGTTAGGATTGTACCTTCGTATAGTATAACAACAATCACTGGGGTTAGGATTGTACCTTCGTATAGTATAACAACAATCACTGGGGTTAGGATTGTACCTGCGTATAGTATAACAACAATCACTGAGGTTAGGATTGTACCTGCGTATAGTATAATAACAATCACTGAGGTTAGGATTGTACCTGCGTATAGTATAACAACAATCACTGGGGTTAGGATTGTACCTGCGTATAGTATAACAACAATCACTGAGGTTAGGATTGTACCTTCGTATAGTATAACAACAATCACTGGGGTTAGGATTGTACCTTCGTATAGTATAACAACAATCACTGGGGTTAGGATTGTACCTGCGTATAGTATAACAACAATCACTGAGGTTAGGATTGTACCTGCGTATAGTATAATAACAATCACTGAGGTTAGGATTGTACCTGCGTATAGTATAACAACAATCACTGGGGTTAGGATTGTACCTGCGTATAGTATAACAACAATCACTGGGGTTAGGATTGTACCTTCGTATAGTATAATAAAAATCACTGAGGTTAGGATTGTACCTGCGTATAGTATAATAACAATCACTGGGGTTAGGATTGTACCTGCGTGTAGTATAACAACAATCACTGGGGTTAGGATTGTACCTGCGTATAGTATAACAACAATCACTGGGGTTAGGATTGTACCTTCGTATAGTATAATAAAAATCACTGAGGTTAGGATTGTACCTGCGTATAGTATAATAACAATCACTGGGGTTAGGATTGTACCTGCGTGTAGTATAACAACAATCACTGGGGTTAGGGATTGTACCTGCGTATAGTATAATAAAAATCACTGAGGTTAGGATTGTACCTGCGTATAGTATAATAACAATCACTGGGGTTAGGATTGTACCTGCGTGTAGTATAACAACAATCACTGGGGTTAGGATTGTACCTGCGTATAGTATAATAAAAATCACTGAGGTTAGGATTGTACCTGCGTATAGTATAATAACAATCACTGGGGTTAGGATTGTACCTGCGTGTAGTATAACAACAATCACTGGGGTTAGGATTGTACCTGCGTATAGTATAATAACAATCACTGAGGTTAGGATTGTACCTGCGTATAGTATAACAACAATCACTGAGGTTAGGATTGTACCTGCGTATAGTATAATAACAATCACTGGGGTTAGGATTGTACCTGCGTATAGTATAATAACAATCACTGAGGTTAGGATTGTACCTGCATATAGTATAACAACAATCACTGGGTTTAGGATTGTACCTGCGTATAGTATAATAACAATCACTGGGGTTAGGATTGTACCTGCATATAGTATAACAACAATCACTGGGTTTAGGATTGTATCTGCGAATAGTATAACAATCGCAGGGGTTAAGATTGTACCTGCAAATAGTCTAACAATCGCTGGGGTTGTGTCTGCGTCAGGTAAGTATATACCTTCTTGTAAAGCTGTATATCCTAGCGTTTAACCCCAAAGTTGGAGTACATTAGTATTGGATATTACGCACACCCCTGACCCATCCTTAATAACACGACGTGTGGAGGTTCAATCTGTTGCCGATAAATCTGCTGCCTCAGCGATAAGGCCAACACAGCCAGCATGTAGACTCATTACCTCCCCCGGGCAGCCCCTCCCCCCTTGTCTACCGGGGAAGCCATGTTTGCACTTGTTGTCGGACAAGTGTTAGGTTCTTAAAGGAAGAGGCCATAGCTCGAGCTTAGTGAGTAGATACTGCTTAGTTCGTACTGTTGCGGGTATACGCTGGTGATACGTACCCTTCGTACGGTGTTTGCGTAAACCATTTGTGATCGTGCGTGATTTCTCCCCTAATCATGTGGTATCCGCGAAGTAACGCCATATCCGTTACCATAAAACTATGACCATACCAATTTTGTCCAATGACGCGCCAAGATAAATAGCCAGGCCAAAGGAAGTTTACTATTGAAAACTGCGTTTGCTGAATAATATATACATGATGAAAACACTAGTAGGGCTGAATTAAGTCGCTGAATCACAACAAATGTAACGTTCAAAACACACCTCTGATGCCTGTATCAGATGCATCACAAGCGACTAACCATTTCTTATTTGTTATGTTTAAGCAGGGGTACTCTACAGCGTCTTCTAGTCTCCCTGATTTAAGCTACAGTGAAACAATGCTGTATACTTTCTCTCGTCCCGGTAGTGCATTTATTACTTGGTACCACACGCACCGCTGCCCATATCGGGTATTGCCATATCGATACTGCTGACATTCACACTGTCAATGTGAAAAGAATTCATCAATATTCTTGATTGACAAACACATGATTATTTAAAAGGCGACGTTTGGCAGCCCAACGTTGCCATGTTTTGTCCCTGATACTCACCCTTGGTCCCTTGTCTCCCGGCACTCCCCGCGCACCCGGAAGTCCTGCTGGCCCCTGTTAATATTCAATTGGTAGGAGAATGAGTGCGTGACTCAATGTCTGGCTAGAGCGGGCATGCAAAGCGGTACTTGCCGCGCGTCATCTTTGCGCAGCCATGCTTTTATTTACATTTTTACAGTGCTTGGTTTATGGGACGATCCGCTTGGTCGGTGGGGGTAGATAGCAGGTGCTCTGACCATGGGATAGACGGCATGAGAACAGGATGGGACAGCTGGGAGGGAGGGAGGTTTGGGGCAGCGCTCTAGGACGTCTATACTGATGGAAGGTAGATATGGTGACAACAACGTTTCAGAATCCAGTAACAATTTTGTGGGGTACGCAAAATAATATCATTTGTAAATGATGTAACAATCCTACAAATTCTCATTTTACTTGTCTCGGATAGGCGGAAACCGTTGTTCGTTGAAAAAAATACCCTAAACACTGATTTATCAATTTCTATTTTGTTCAACTTGATGGAAAATATGAAATGATTGAATAATATATATATTTTGGACGGGACTTAAAGTAATAAAATAGTATACACAAATAGTACATTCGTAGTCCGATATTACACCTGATAACTTAAAAGGTCAAGGTTGATGCACGTGCTAACTACAGATGTCTTGCCTTGCAACGCTCGCTGTGCAGCAGTACCCGGATCTGCGTCAACTCACCTGCGCACAGAGACTGAGTGCCGCCACTGAGCTTCAGTGATCAGCCTCGCTCTGGAATACTGGGGACAATAGGCAACAAAATGCGTCATCAATACAAGTGTAAATCATAAACAACCGGTAGAGGCGTCTTGACGCGATATGCGCTTGCTAGAGGTAGGCTCCATTTTTGAAACTAAAGAAATGACTGAGGTCAGATCAATCATAATTCCACAAACAGAGCCAAGCAATTAGTCGTACTCTTTGCAACGCATGCGCATTCAGAACGCTTCCGCCGGAAACAAGTACTACTCCTCTGATTTCTGTGCGTTAGACGTCAATTGTCTGAAAAACTCAAATCAATGTGCGCTTAGAAAATATGGATGTCGCACGCGCAAAATATATGAAGGATATTACTTATAGATACACGACCAGTACACAGGCGGAGGTCTAATATGTCTAAAAGCGACTGGACCAAAGTAAATGGAAAGGAGTGTTGAGGAAAATATGAGTGACCCTCTCCCATATATGACTCTCATACTTCTTCGCTGTCGGGAAAGTATGGAATTTGAAACAAGGATTTGACGAAAGGACAGTGCATGTCTAGTCTATGGCGTGTGAAGAAGAGCATCCCCCGGGGCGACAGCATACATGCATAAAAACCAATGGAGTAGTACTTGAAACTTCTTGATTAGATCCTCCCATACCGCTTTCCCCTCCTGCGGCTCCGACAGCAGACCGGGAATCCCGGGGGGACCTGGGGGACCCTGAAACATAACAGTATCTCACAGTTACCTCCCCTGGAACAAAACGTCAGGTTATCTCCCTTAGATTGTTGTTTTTTCAAGCGCTTGCTTTGCATGACTACATCAAAGGTCCGATTGGCAGCAGCAGAATACTATAACTCGGATAACGCTGCTAAATGTTGCATTAAATGAACGTGTTAAATAACAAGCTTACCCGTAAGGCTTAAGAGGAACAAAATACATACATGCATTTAAACTGACTTCCTGGTACCACATGTATGTCACTGCTTTCAATGCGCTGATGTTAGTTTCAGCTGACATGTAATTATTCTGCTCATTATCTCCAACTTAACAATATCAACATATTTACTTCAGTCAAGAAGTTACCACAGGAGTGGTTTGATACACCAGATAATGTACCATAGGTACAAATGGAACTGTCAATTTCTGAAAGTTACAAGTGTTTCGCTCGAGTGTTGAACATGTGTGTCTCCTGTAACAGAGACAACTATTCAGTACAAGTATGCAGGGAGACCTCTTGGGTTCCTCTGGAGGTACACATGTGGAAGGTCATGCATCTATGTAAAGATACTACATATACATGGAGGCGCAATAGAGGCAATACGCTGACAAAGCTTTACAGAGTATAATATGGTGTACCAGTCTACACGTGTACTTATAGTATAGAGTATAGTGTGATTTAAATGTTTACACGTGCTTCTACAGTATAGAGTAAAGTGTGATGTACCTGTTTACACGTGCATCTACAGTATAGAGTATAGTGTGATTTACCTGTTTACACGTGCATCTACAGTATTGAGTATGGGGTGATTTACCTGTTTAAACGTGTATTTACAGTAAAGTGTGATGTACCAGTCTACACGTGTACTTACAGTATAGAGTATAGTGAGATTTACCTGTTTACACGTGCATCTACAGTATAGATTAAAGTGTGATGTACCTGTTTACACGTGCATCTACAGTATAGAGTATAGTGTGATGTACCTGTTTACACGTGTATTTACAGTAAAGTGTGATGTACTTGTTTAAACGTGCATTTCCGTATAGACTATAGTGTGATGTACCTGTCTACACGTGTATTTACAGTATAGTTTGATGTACCTGTCTGCACGTGTATTTATGGTATAGAATATGGTGTGATGTACCTGTCTACACGTGTATTTATAGTAAAGAATATGGTGTGACGTGCCTGTCTACACGTGTATTTACAGTATAGTGTGATGTACCAGTTTACACATGTATTTATAGTATAGAATATGGTGTGACGTGCCTGTCTGCATGTGTATTTACAGTATTGTGTGATGTACCAGTCCACACGTGTATTTACAGTATAGTTTGATGCACCTGTCTACACGTGTATTTACAGTATAGTTTGATGCACCTGTCTACACGTGTATTTACAGTATAGTTTGATGCACCTGTCTACACGTGTATTTACAGTATAGTTTGATGCACCTGTCTACACGTGTATTTACAGTACAGTGTGATGTACCTGTCTGCACGTGTATTTTTAGTATAGAATATGGTGTGACGTGCCTGTCTACACGTGTACTTACAATATAGTGTGATGTACCTGTCTACACGTGTATTTATGGTATAGAATATGGTGTGATGTACCTGTCTATACGTGTCTTTATAGTATAGTGTGATGTGCCAGTCTACACGTGTATTTACAGTATAGTTTGATGCACCTGTCTGCACGTGTATTTATAGTATAGAATATGGTGTGATGTACCTGTCTGCACGTGTATTTATAGTATAGTTGATGCACCTGTCTACTCGTGTATTTACAGTATAGTTTGATGTACCTGTCTGCATGTGTTTTTATAGTATAGAATATGGTGTGATGTGCCTGTCTACACGTGTATTTACAGTATAGTTTGATGTACCTGTCTGCACGTGTATTTATGGTATAGAATATGGTGTGATGTACCTGTCTATACGTGTCTTTATAGTATAGTGTGATGTGCATGTCTACACGTGTATTTACAGTATAGTATGATGTACCTGTCTGCACGTGTATTTACAGTATAGTTGATGTACCTGTCTACATGTGTATTTACAGTATAGTTTGATGTACCTGTCTGCACGTGTATTTACAGTATAGTTTGATGTACCTGTCTACACGTGTATTTACAGTATAGTTTGATGTACCTGTCTACACGTGTATTTACAGTATAGTTTGATGTACCTGTCTGCACGTGTATTTATGGTATAGAATATGGTGTGATGTACCTGTTTACACGTGTATTTATAGTATAGTGTGATGTGCCTGTCTACACGTGTATTTACAGTATAGTTTGATGTACCTGTCTACACGTGTATTTATGGTATAGAATATGGTGTGATGTACCTGTCTATACGTGTCTTTATAGTATTGTGTGATGTGCCTGTCTACACGTGTATTTACAGTATAGTGTGATGTACCTGTCTACACGTGTATTTACAGTACAGTGTGATGTACCTGACTACACGTGCATTTACAGTATTGTGTCATGTACCTGTCTACACGTGTATCTATGGTATAGAATATGGTGTGATGTACCTGTCTATACGTGTTTTTACAGTATAGTTTGATGTACCTGTCTGCACGTGTATTTATAGGATAGTGTGATGTGCCTGTCTGCACGTGTATTTATAGAATAGAATATGGTGTGATGTGCCTGTCTGCACGTGTATTTATAGAATAGAATATGGTGTGATGTACCAGTCTACACGTGTTTTTACAGTATAGTTTGATGTACCTGTCTGCACGTGCATCTATAGTATAGAATATGGTGTGATGTACCTGTCTATACGTGTATTTACAGTACAGTGTGATGTACCTGTCTGCACGTGTATTTTTAGTATAGAATATGGTGTGACGTGCCTGTCTACACGTGTACTTACAGTATAGTGTGATGTACCTGTCTACACGTGCATTTACAGTATTGTGTCATGTACCTGTCTACACGTGTATTTATGGTATAGAATATGGTGTGATGTACCTGTCTATACGTGTCTTTATAGTATAGTGTGATGTGCCTGTCTACACGTGTATTTACAGTATACATGTAGTTTGATGTACCTGTCTGCACGTGTATTTATAGTATAGAATATGGTGTGATGTACTTGTCTATACGTGTCTTTATAGTATAGTGTGATGTGCCTGTCTACACGTGTATTTACAATATAGTTTGATGCACCTGTCTCCACGTGTATTCATAGTATAGAATATGGTGTGATGTACCTGTCTGCACGTGTATTTATAGTATAGTTGATGTACCTGTCTACTCGTATATTTACAGTATAGTTTGATGTACCTGTCTGCACGTGTTTTTATAGTATAGAATATGGTGTGATGTGCCTGTCTACAGGTGTATTTACAGTACAGTTTGATGTACCTGTCTGCACGTGTATTTATGGTATAGAATATGGTTTGATGTACCTGTCTATACGTGTCTTTATAGCATAGTGTGATGTGCCTGTCTACACGTGTATTTACAGTATAGTTTGATGTACCTGTCTGCACGTGTATTTATAGTATAGAATATGGTGTGATGTGCCTGTCTACACGTGTATTTACAGTATAGTTGATGTACCTGTCTACATGTGTATTTACAGTATAGTTTGATGTACCTGTCTGCACGTGTATTTACAGTATAGTTTGATGTACCTGTCTACACGTGTATTTACAGTATAGTTTGATGTACCTGTCTGCACGTGTATTTAAAGTATAGTTTGATGTACCTGTCTGCATGTGTATTTATGGTATAGAATATGGTGTGATGTACCTGTCTATACGTGTCTTTATAGTATAGTGTGATGTGCCTGTCTACACGTGTATTTACAGTATAGTTTGATGTACCTGTCTACACGTGTATTTACAGTATAGAATATGGTGTGATGTACCTGTCTATACGTGTCTTTATAGTATTGTGTGATCTGCCTGTCTACACGTGTATTTACAGTATAGTGTGATGTACCTGTCTACACGTGTATTTACAGTACAGTGTGATGTACCTGACTACACGTGTATTTACAGTATTGTGTCATGTACCTGTCTACACGTGTATTTATGGTATAGAATATGGTGTGATGTACCTGTCTATACGTGTTTTTACAGTATAGTTTGATGTACCTGTCTGCACGTGTATTTATAGTATAGAATATGGTATGATGTACCTGTCTACACGTGTATTTACAGCATAGTGTGATGTGCCTGTCTGCACGTGTATTTATAGGATAGTGTGATGTGTCTGTCTGCACGTGTATTTATAGAATAGAATATGGTGTGATGTGCCTGTCTACACGTGTATTTACAGTTTAGTGTGATGCACCTGTCTACACGTGTATTTACAGTTCAGTGTGATGTACCTGACTACACGTGTACTTACAGTATAGTGTGATGTACCTGTCTACACGTGTATTTACAGTATAGTTTGATGTACCTGTCTGCACGTGTATTTACAGTATAGTTTGATGTACCTGTCTACACGTGTATTTGCAGTATAGTTTGATGTACCTGTTTGCACGTGCATCTATAGTATAGAATATGGTGTGATGTACCTGTCTATACGTGTATTTACAGTACAGTGTGATGTACCTGTCTGCACGTGTATTTTTAGTATAGAATATGGTGTGACGTGCCTGTCTACACGTGTACTTACAGTATAGTGTGATGTACCTGTCTACACGTGCATTTACAGTATTGTGTCATGTACCTGTCTACACGTGTATTTATGGTATAGAATATGGTGTGATGTACCTGTCTATACGTGTCTTTATAGTATAGTGTGATGTGCCTGTCTGCACGTGTATTTATAGTATAGAATATGGTGTGATGTTCCTGTCTACACGTGTATCTACAGTATAGTGTGATGTACCAGTGTTTTAACGATATGTATCAACGTACATATGAGTCACGAACCAAAGTGTCTACAGTTGTATAAACGTTATCGCACGACGTAATGGACGAGCCTGAGAGCAAAGCATGACGTGCAGGTGTCTTCCTCATATATAGCACAAAGCTGCTTGTTAGGCAGGTGTAACTATTGCAAAGCGTTACGTGCCCGTAAAAATTGGCATGAATTGTACTGAGTACATGAAGTGACATGAGGACCCAGTGCTGCTGTCGACTATATACACCATTGTGTGACATACCACTGTGCGTGTGATGTTCATGTGTAGTAATGTGCCTGATCACCGCCCAGCAAACAGATTATTCAGCTCCCATTTGATTGTTCTTTATAATCAGTGGGGTTTGAATCGGTGGCCCCTTTGTGTTGGTAGTCATCTGTTTTTTTAACAATGTGTTTTTGGTAGAGATATTTCCATGAAGTTTGTGTAACGTGGTCTATTTGCTGAGTGGCAGATGATTGTATATTCCAGGACAGCAGAGCGGCATGAGAGGCGGTATGACAAGCGGCATGACAAGCAGTGACAAGCGGTATGACGTGTGGTATGACATGTGGCGTAACGGGCTGCTCTGGCTATGATATGCGGTCCCGCCATGCGGCGCCCTGGAGCGGCAGGTACTCGTCGTCAGACGGACATACCGGGTCGCCACGGCTGCCTTTTTGTCCTAGTAGACCCTGGTCTCCCTGGGGGCCCTGTAGCGAATAGGAAATATTAGTCGAAAGAAAAACAAATGTATATAAACACATGTGATTTATGTGCTGTATAATGGAGGCCATGCGAGGGGAACTATAACATGTAATATATGAAGGTGAGGTCTGTCATCAGCATAGTATGGAGGGTTACATCTTCAGTTTTCGCGCTCTTCCGTAAGTAAAACAGAATGGGATGTTAATTCATCTGACGCGATCTGCATATTACCAGTTAACCATTTTAAAAGGAAACAGTAATATATTACCAACATAAAATAAGACCACCTGATCGTTTCATATTACAGTAGGTAATCTGTAGTCACACCATAACAGCTTAACTACGGTAATATGCGAGAATCGGGTGATTCAAGACATCTTTCAGAAGTACACAACCTGCTTCACGTCTTCTTCAAGTTGCATAGAAAATAGCATGCGTTCTTGTTAGTTGGGCCAAAATATGCAAATCAAATAAAAAGATGAACTTCTAAAACAAATTTGTCTACAAGCATTATTGTTCTTCATGTTGGAATGCTCCACGGAATTAAATGTATTAGGAACCAGTTATTAACGCCACATTTACACGCTGAGAAAGAGGAGACTGGTTAGCTTAGAAAGAAGCTACCTCCAGAACTATCTACACTTGTTAAACAGACTGAGCCCAGTCTACTCGGATGCATTATGGGCCAGCCTCATAGTCTATGAAACTCCATTCTTCCGCACATAAACTTATTTATTCTAATGTCCAGAGGGAATTTGGGTTTCTATACCCCAGTAAGTAAACTGTGTAGAATAAACGGCCTGTGTCTGGGCCGAAAGTGCTCCCACAAGGACACGGATCACTGGTTGTACCTTGTCCCCCATATACCTTATGAATAATATGCCTTGTACCGATGTGCAGTAGTCCCCATACGCCTTGTCCCAATGTGCCGTATTCCTCATACACCTTGTCCCTAGGTGCCGTATTCCCCATACACCTTGTCCCTAGGTGCCGTATTCCCCATACACCTTGTCCCAATGTGCAGTATTCCCCATACACCTTGTCCCTAGGTGCAGTATTCCCCATACACCTTGTCCCTAGGTACAGTATTCCCCATACACCTTGTCCCTAGGTGCAGTATTCCCCATACACCTTGTCCCTACGTGCCGTATTCCCCATACACCATGTCCCTAGGTGCCGTATTCCCCATACACTTTGTCCCTACGTGCAGTATTCCCCATACACCTTGTTCCTAGGTGCCGTATTCCCCATACACCTTGTCCCTAGGTGCCGTATTCCCCATACACCTTGTCCGTACGTGCAGTAGTCCCCATACACCTTGTCCATAGGTGCAGTATTCCCCATACACCTTGACCCTAGGTGCCGTATTCCCCATACACCTTGTCCCTAGGTGCTGTATACCCCATACACCTTGTCCGTAAGTGCAGTAGTCCCCATACACCATGTCCCTACGTGCAGTATTCCCCATACACCTTGTCCCTAGGTGCCGTATTCCCCATACACCTTGTCCCTAGGTGCCGTATTCCCCATACACCATGTCCCTACGTGCCGTTTTCCCCATACACCATGTCCCTACGTGCCGTTTTCCCCATACACCATGTCCCTAGGTGCCGTATTCCCCATACACCATGTCCCTAGGTGCCGTATTCCCCATACACCATGTCCCTAGGTGCCGTATTCCCCATACACCATGTCCCTAGGTGCCGTATTCCCCATACACCTTGTCCCTAGGTGCCGTATTCCCCATACACCTTGTCCCTAGGTGCCGTATTCCCCATACACCTTGTCCCTACGTGTCGTATTCCCCATACACCATGTCCCTACGTGTCGTATTCCCCATACACCATGTCCGTACGTGTCGTTTTCCCCATACACCTTGTCCCTAGCAGCCGTATTCCCCATACACCTTGTCCCTACGTGTCGTATTCCCCATACACCTTGTCCCTAGGTGCCGTATTCCCCATACACCATGTCCCTACGTACCGTATTCCCCAGACACCATGTCCCTACGTACCGTATTCCCCAGACACCATGTCCCTACGTGCCGTATTCCCCAGACACCATGTCCCTACGTGCCGTATTCCACATACACCTTGTCCTTAGGTGTCGTATTCCCCACACACCTTATCCCTATGTGCCATATTCCAAACTATGCCTTATTACCCACAATGTAATATGCTTTGTCCCCGTATTTCCTATTCCCCATATGCCAATTCGTTCAGTCCTTATGTGCAACAATCCCGACATGCCCAGTCCCTATGTAGCTTATCGCCAATATGCCCATGCTCTGATTGGTGTTGTTTCTATATGTCTTATCCCTCAACATGCTTAGTTCCAGTATGCCTTATCCCCAGCAGGCCTACTCTCTATATACTTACATTCCCTATGCCTTATCCCACATAGGCCCAGTCTCTATATTCCTTACACCCCAATATGCCTAGTCCCTATATGCCTGGTCACAGTGCCTCGTCCCTTTGCAGCTTAAAGGCACAATGTCACACATTTTTGTACAATATTTTGGCCATATTTTAGCTTCCTGTTGATGCAATAAAAGACTTGTTAACCCTTACGAATTGCCTGAAAACAATAATTGAAACCTCAAGGCGAACAGCTTCAAAACAGATAACACTTGCCATATGTGGAAAACTATTGCTCCGTGCATCGGAAACTGTCGCACGCGGTGTTGTCGGTGATTGCCGAACTGGCCTCAATCACAAGTTGCGTTATACGATATTCGTTAAGAGCGTTCCAAGGGACATAATTCTATGGGGTTCGCTTGAAATAATGTTCGGCCGGTAGAGGGCGCGAGAGTCGATTTAATGCTACGTTGCAATTATTCATTCGAACTTTTTGATTTAATATTGTAATCAAATACGATTTTTTTTGGGAATAAATTACATAGCAGCTTCCCTGGGGGCTGATAGTTTGTATCACTGAGAGAAATGCATTATGTTTTTTTAGAGAAACGTGGTGTGACATTGTTCCTTTAACCCCAGTATGTCTTACCCCCTTCAGGTACAGTGTGTCGTGGCACCTGCATATCGGTTAGTGTTAATGAATCGTTATTACATCACCGCAATAAACACTATCTTCTACAGACCACAGTCTGAGATCAATCAGACCCGTTTCGTCATGTTAAACATCGACTTTGTGCGAATTAGGCTAACGAGTCAAAGAGAAAAACACTAGTGGCATCACGTGTCAGTTATTAGTACAACTACTGACATACAGTTATTGTAACAATAATTACTCATCTCACCATGGGGTCGACCTAAAACATAAACATCACTGTCACTGATTCAGTTGTAACTTGGCAATAAACTCTTGAAGAAATATCAAACGGTTCACCGGTGACGTGCTGGCTTGAACACTGTTAAACTCATTCCCTTACCGTGGGTCCTGGGGGCCCTCGGATACCGTTACGCCCTCTGTTGCCAGGAGTTCCCTGCAAAGGGACATTATTCCAATAACAGTGTTAAAAGTTTCATGATATGAAGTAATACAACAGCAGAGTAGCATATAAAACAATCTTCAAGAACAATAACACAGAACAAATATATAGTTGTTCCTGTCATTTACGTCGTTACGATATAAGATCAATCATATGTTGATCAACTGATCAACTAATCATATCAATCAACTGAAGAGTGAAAAAAGGGAAGTAACTCGCACTCGCACATACATTAGTCACAGAGCTGTAGTGGTGTGTTAAGGAACATGCTGTTATTCAGTATTATTCAAAGACAGATATCAAACTATATAAACAGAGAGAAGAATTTGTTGTTTCCGCGTTGATCGTCTCACTGGAGCCCGAAAGGGAGAAAACATTTCACACCCGCTCTCCCTTTGGTCCGCGAATTCCTTGTTTTCCAGTGCGCCCTTGTTCACCCTGAAAAGAAGCAGACATAAACGTGTAGTATTTGTCGGCAACAGCGGCAAGTAAGGGGCCGTCGACACGGGCATGGCTCATTGCCACAGCAAACTACAGCAGTCCGCAATACAAATTACATATAGCTGTACTCATATACATTTGGTGACCTGTAGTCGGCAATAGTACAGCTATGTCACAACAGTCTTTAGTCCGCAATAGTACAGCTATGTCACAACAGTCTGTAGTCAGTAATATTACAGCTATGTCACAACAGTCTGTAGTCAACAATATTACAGCTACGTCACAACGGTCTGTAGTCAGTAATATTACAGCTATGTCACAACAGTCTGTAGTCAACAATATTACAGCTATGTCACAACAGTCTGTAGTCAACAATATTACAGCTACGTCACAACGGTCTGTAGTCAGTAATATTACAGCTATGTCACAACAGTCTGTAGTCAACAATATTACAGCTATGTCACAACAGTCTGTAGTCAACAATATTACAGCTATGTCACAACAGTCTGTAGTCAGCAATATTACAACTATGTCACAACAGTCTGTAGTCAACAATAGTACAGCTATGTCACAACAGTCTGTAGTCAGCAATATTACAGCTATGTCACAACAGTCTGTAGTCAACAATATTACAGCTATGTCACAACAGTCTGTAGTCAACAATAGTACAGCTATGTCACAACAGTCTGTAGTCAGCAATATTACAACTTTGTCACAACAGTCTGTAGTCAGCAATATTACAGCTATGTCACAACAGTCTGTAGTCAACAAAATTACAGCTATGTCACAACAGCCTGTAGTCAGCATAATTACAGCTATGTCACAACAGTCTGTAGTCAGTAATATTACAGCTATCGCCAGTGCTAATGTGACCACAGCGCTCGGCCAATCAGGCAAAACTGTGGGTTTATGTTCAGTTCAAGTAGAGGAACTATATACATGTATGTATACGAAGTAGAGCAGGTATCGCATAAGTAGTGCAACAGATATCACATATGTAATACAACAGATATCACATATGTAATACAACAGATATCACATATGCAATACAACACATATCACATATGTAATACAACAGATATCATATAAGTAATACAACAGATATCACATATGTAATACAACATATATCACATATGTAATACAACAGATATCACATATGTAATACAACAGATATCACCAGCGAGGACAGATGAAACCTTTACCGTCAGTCCATCCGCACCATCCTTTCCTTGAGAACCGCGATTTCCCCGCTCGCCCTGTTGACAAAGCAACATTGACAGTTGACAGAGTACAAGGATGTATTCCCAGGTGATGGGGAAAGACGCTGAAGTCATATGCCGCAGAGGAAACACGTTTAAATATCTGATATATTGATGGTTTATTATATCGCATGCACATACTGTTCAGGTATTGTTATAAACAATTATTGATATAAACCCGTATGGATACCACGAATAACACACACGTCAGTGTGATACGTTAGAATATGAGAAACGGGGGAATTTGACATGATATATTTCCTTTCTCCTCTTGATTCGTGATTCAAATATGATGGAGACAAGGATACCTTCACTTATACCTATGTTTCTCGTAAGATTATTATTGACAAAGTTTTTTTTAATCTTATAATTTTGAGTATAACTGGATTAATATTACGACACGTAAAAGGGGTCAACATTACGATATGCACAAAGGGTGCAATGGTGAGTTAGTGAGTGAGTGAGTTTAGTTTAGCAATATTCCAGCTATATATGGCGGCGGTCTGTAAATAATCGAGTCTGGCCCAGACAATCCAGTGATTAATAGCATAGGCATCAATCTACGGAATTGACCTGACCACCCGATCCCGTTAGGTGCCTTTTACGAAAGCATGGGTTGCTGAAGATCAATTCTAACTCGGATCTTCACGGGTCGACGTATAATAGAAATATAATACTGCTATATCTGACTCAGGTAGGAAGAGGACGTGACATACAGCCGGATGTGTGGCTGATGTGACTGGAGATTTATAACTGATATTTCTCAAGTAGAGGTATGTACACACATTTGAATACCTCATACCTCTGATCTAGCCGCATATCAAGTATGCATTATGCACGAGATGTAGCATTCACACCATACTAAATAAATCCCGTGGATAAACCGCTTACCTTCGTGCCCTTGGATCCCCCAGTTCCGGGTTCCCCTTTAGCCCCCTGTAATGGAGATATTGGTATAATTAGAACACTAAACGAATACATTGTGTGTACATAACACAATTTACAAAATATTATACAAAATATACTACCCGCTTTCTAATTCGTATACCAACCATCCAGTATACTACCCATCGCAGAGTACTACCTACCATCTATTCAGTATGCTAGCCACCTTGTCAACAGTCCTCTACACTCTTGACACAGTATACTACCCATTTTCAGCCCAGTATACTACACACCTTCTTCCGCATCTTTTCCAATTTCTAATCAACCTTCCATGTAGTATACCTGCCCACAACCCAAGTAATGTCAGATGTTACAAACACTTGAACGTGCAAACCTTAAGGCCTCTTTCGCCTCTCGATCCGGGAACACCTTGGGGACCCACTGGACCCTGAAAATAGACGTGATAGCCATGTGCTAAACAAGGAAATCAGCGGCAGTTCTTATAACATCGCTGATATGTTCCTATAGACACCGCATTATTACACATCACTGATATGTTCCTATATAACATATCACTGATATGTTCCTATAAACACCGCATTATTACACATCACTGATATGTTCCTATAGACACTGCATTATTACACATCACTGATATGTTCCTATAGACACCGCATTATTACACATCACTGATATGTTCCTATAAACATCGCATTATTACACATCACTGATATGTTCCTATATACACCGCATCATTACATATCACTGATATGTTCCTATAAACACCGCATTATTACACATCACTGATATGTTCCTATATACAACGCATTATTACACATCACTGATATGTTCCTATATACACCGCATTATTACACATCACTGATATGTTCCTATAGACACCGCATTATTACACATCACTGATATGTTCCTATAAACACCGCATTATTACACATCACTGATATGTTCCTATAGACACCGCATTATTACACATCACTGATATGTTCCTATAGACACTGCATTATTACACATCACTGATATGTTCCTATAGACACCGCATTATTACACATCATTGATATGTTCCTATAGACACCGCATCATAACCCATCACTGATATGTTCCTATAAACACCGCATTAATACACATCACTGATATGTTCCTATACGAAGTGATGTGTAGTGAAGCGACATAGATATTTGTGAAACCAAGAAACCAAGGCTCACATAACAGACTGTAGTAGAACCCACGTCCATGGCTCTATGAAATACTGCCAGACACTAAAGGTGTTGTAGTGTTTACTGACGTGATGGTTTATTGAGTAGCAAGTGGAGAAGAGTGTACTCACGGGCACTGGTTTTATGTCGTTGGATGTGATTTCACCTGGAGTACCCTACAAAGAAGCAGAAAAAGATGATCAAATGTAACAGCTGTAGATATTTTATGTTCGCTTCATTTATCATGAGTCCACCAACGCATGCACTGTTTTAGCGAAAAACGAAATGTACTCGTCAGCATATTTGGGCTGTTTCCGTCGTTCCGTTTGTATTATACTGTCATGTATTGTAGGGGTAGGTTGAGATCAGGCGCGGTTTGCATTGTGTCATTGTTCTACCTTTGTTGACATATCTAGTGTTCATTGCCCTGTTGTTGAGACCCGTGATGGTGATACTGTTGGACAGCGAGAAGACATCTTACAGTAATCTGCAGCAGACATCTGATCATGGCAAGCACAATAAACACTTCTTGAAGTCAGTAGAACAAACACATTGTCCTTTGAGTTGTTCCTCAAACAGCAGCGACCACTGGAAGTGCCAGTTTTCTGGCAAACATTAGCACAGCAAATGGCAAGAATCAAACGATTTAACAGCTCTTCTACTGTGTAAGGTTCAAACACCTCCGTATGTATGTGTGACAGCAAGATCGTTTGAAGGGAAACTGGTTTAGATGTGAGGGTGGTTCACAGTGGCTTTGTTTAACGGATGGCGGGAGAATAAACCTGTATGGGACATCAGATATATTTACTGCAGGTCACGATCACCATTACAGCCTCAGTTATCAAGGACAGTGCATTATAGGGAGTAACTGGCGACCTAGTCTCATATCAACATGGGGAGACAACCATTGAGTACTGACGTCACCCCCTGGTATCAACATGGGGAGACAAGCGTTGGGTACTGACGTCATATCCTGATATCAGCACGAGGAGAGACATTGAGTACTGACGTCATATCCTGATATCACAATGGAGAGACAAGCGTTGGGTGCTGGGGACCCAGTCTGATATCAACACAGGGAGACAACCATTGGGTACTGGCGAGATATCCTGATATCAACATGGGGAGACAAACGTTGGGTGCTGGGGACCCAGTCTGATATTGTGAGCTGGAGAACATTAGCTAGCCTGATAATCACGGGGATCGAAGCAGCTGTTACTGGCTACCTAATATGATAACAAGGGGAGGACAGAAACAACGCTATTTCTAACTTCTTCCCACTGCAACTGAGAGACAAGGCTACATGTTGCTACTCACCGGTTGTCCTGGCAACCCCGGGGGCCCGGGGGGTCCTGGGACTCCTGGATCGCCCTCTGATCCCTGGGGTAGAAGACAATGGACAATGAATTAGTCATACGACATATTTCCACACAAACATTCGTGTGAAAGAAACTCCACCAGAAGCGCTCGTAAACGTTACAGGGCCAGTATAAGGTGCATGTCCTGTGTTTATTTCTCCAGAGCTCATTGCAGATTACCAGATATTGTTTGTGAAAACTATTTTCGTTGACATGTTACATCAACTACCAGACTGTTTTGGCCATGGACGTGAACTATTGAAGTTGGTTATGGCAGGTGTTCTCACCGGATATCCTCTCGATCCCTGCTCGCCATCAGCTCCTGTTTTCCCCGGCTCGCCCTGCACACAAATGGGACATTATACAACACTTCGACTGTTTGTAGACACATTAAGCTAGATCTAACGATGTTCCTTTACACATTAGAGAATGTACAGAGCTGTATATCTAAACACTTGGCTAATATTAAGGTAGACCAAACACCTAGAAGGAGCTCATTAGTTGGTGGGTTTTAGGTCAGACCGAATTAATCAGTCGTTTCCAGATCTCAACGTTTATTTCAAGTTCAAATAATTCTCCCACTTAAAACAAACTCGAAATGAGGCTGCTGAAAGAAGCATTTCTTTCTAAACTTGGAGTGTTTATTTTCTCGACGTTTAAGTGGTCGTGATGGTGCCGCTGTCACAGGGCGTCCACTACTATTGTTACAAGTGCTGCACGGAGCTTGGGTGATAAACCAACCACTTCAAACACCTTGTAGTATAGAAGGGAGATAAGTCTAGCCACCTCACGCGACTTCAAAGCACATGACCATCCTAAAGTTATCAAGGCTAAGCTGTACAAGGACAACACCGAGATCCGTAAAAGGCCACAGCAGCGAGTGGGGCTTAACACAATACACTGGAGTATAAAGTCAGGCATGTATCCAAACTGTGACAGCGGTTCTTAACCACACACACCCAGTGCCATCCATTGGCACCACCAAATGTGACGCCACTTGTTCTCTTTCGGATAACGTAACGAATATATCATGCGTAGAAATTGTCATATTTTCCTGTTCAGATTTCGAGGGGAAGCTATTCAGATGATATCCCCGATGAACACAATTAGGGCATACAAAACTATCTCTCTCATCGAGACTAGGTATAGTGTTGTATGCCAACTGGGGCCGTGTTCCGTGGTTTGCCTATATTCTGCCGAGTCCTTGTATGATTGTAACCGGTCTAGTAGTCGGGTCTCGAAGTCGAAAAGCCTTGTCGAATATTCGGGTCTCGTGTTGTGATTGCATACTAGTCATGTCTCGTGGCCTGAACATCCCCTATCTGTTTAGTGGCCTGTACAAGAGCCAAAGGTCGTGACACATGGTTTAACCATTGCCATCAGTCAACCTGAAACTGCACACCTACTCCAGTTCTGGAAATGAAAGACATTTATAACAAATATGATCCTGAGTTAGCCTAGATCTGTATTAACCAGACATTCGGCCCAGATTCTACTGGGTACGCCATGTCTTAAGCATGAGCAGGTGCCCAGTAATGAACGACGCGGTGGTAGCCCTACATCCATCCCACCGTTGGTTGCCATCTGACAGACGCAGGATATCACTAAGTTCTGCAATTCATATCCAATGCAAGATGGCCGCGAAGGCACGTGCAGCCAGCAGCATGTGAAGGTGATGTCAATATACACAAAGACAAAAGCACGTGTTGCGGCGAACCCCGCCCAGTACACGAGTGTTTAAGGTGCGCCAGTATACAGATTACCGCTGACAGAGGAGCCGTAGATATCTAGGGAACTGAGGAACTGCCGGACTTTCCCGTGTCCGTCATAACTATATTAACCTGCACACTCAATACATACCCACATGTGTGACGCCGTTATTACACATGTCACGTTGCTACTGTTGTAGAGACGAGGCTTGTTGGCGGAAACATTCTGAACATTATTTCATGTGTTGACAATTTAAAGAGTTTGCAAAATAACTTGTGGTTCAGCATGTCCCAAAATTCCGCAGCCACATAAAATCACAATGATGCATGCTTCTCCATCTATTGTTGTGTTTTTACAATGAAATGCTTTGATGTAAAAAGTTATAAATTATCCTGGTAAACTTCATTACACGATACGACGCCAGGGAATTCGAATTTAAAACATCTCCAAGTAATGTATATGGCGATGATAATTCTTTCCATATCCAGCCAGGAACTGCTCAGCTAGAATGTGTCCACGTCCTATACATATAGAGCGGGGAAACTGGGGCTGTAAGCGGGGAAGACCGGCTTCACTGGGGGATTAACTCCACATTTCCACGTCACAGTGTGAAATTGATTCTATTGTACTGATAATTCCAAAGAGATGTCGGGGATTTTCAAAATTCGGGTCAAGTAAGATCAGGTAATAGGGTGAGTATACGGCAAGTTAGCAAACAGTATGGAATGGTGGATGGGTGACAGGTCCTGTGCCAGGTGCTGGGGGTCCTGGAAGCAGGGGGGGGGGGGCACAGTCTGGCATCGCGTCACTGCTGAACAATTGCAATTGTAGGCTGTAAATGGTAACACATGATCTGCCCACGGCTACCAACTGGTGGGACTGCGTCTCGTAACAGCAACGGACAAGTTTTTTTGCTTCTTGTTTAACGACGCACTCAGTAATATTCGAGGTATTTGACGGCGGTCTGTAAACAATCCGGACTGGACCAAACTATCCAGTGATTATGTTCTTATGCACGCCGTCGGAGTTACGTTGAAGCACTATCAACACACGCTTCGTCTGGTGGTCAGCATAGGTTGGTGGAATACACCAGTATGTAGCAGAAGAACTGTTGGGGTTTGGTCAATTCAACTAATATATCATATCCAAACTCAAATCACGTTTAAAGTCTGCGCTATTTCGACTATCCTGACGTAAACTAACCACAGACGTTACGATAGATTGAAGTGTCTGTGTGGCCTTTCTTTGTTTCGCTCTTAGACTATAGTCATATTCAAGTTGAAAGGTTTGACAGTGTTCTGCTCGGTCGATACAGCACCAGGGACTGGCCACCAAGGTGGTGTCAACAGCCGAGTTGTCATCATGCACAGTTTCGCCAGCATAGTACAGTGAATGTTTGGATCATGTGGATATTGGTACCCATCTAGATTTACCTCGAATTTGTATTCAACAACATTGAATAAACCGACTGTAATTCCAGTACAAGATGATATGTGTACCTGTTGTCACACCATATGCACGTATCACCCACATATACTGTACCTTTTTCCCTCCGGGTCCCCCTCGTCCGCGTGGCCCTGGTCGACCACGTGGCCCCTGAAATCAGACACAGGTAGGTGTGTTGTATTCAACTAAATTTTGGAGTCCTCTCCCTACTTGTAATTTTTTAAGAATATATCCATTTGGAACTAGTTGCATAATAAATTATAACTAATCATTTCTGAAGATAAAAAGACAACGCCTTTCTATGTTCATATTCATATATACGCAACAGGGCTATATTCAATATCGGTAAGTTACAGACACTGCCAGTTGGTGCCTACCTCCGGACCCTGGAGTCCCTGCTCTCCCTGCTCGCCGCGGGCACCCATCTCACCCTCGATCTACAATAGTGACGTCACAGAAACATCAAATGACGTTTTGGTCACCAACCAATCGACATGCACACAACACACATTAGCAGTGAGAAATATTCCGACACAAACGTATTCTACATTTAACAAACATGAAAAGGGATTATTTGATATCAATGCTGTTATGTTTCAGACACGGTAAATCTTAACAGGGAATTTTCATACAACATCCTGAAAGATGCTAAGATGCGATCTTGGTGACAGCTGTCTACCAAGTACTACTTGATTCATATGCTTGAGTTACCAGTTCGTAATAACTGTAAACAATGTCAGATGTAATAACGTTATACCAAAGTATGACAACGAAATTATAAGAGTGTTTCTTATACTCATTTATATTACACTGGAAGACAGAACACTCACCGACTTGCCCGGGGGTCCCATAGGCCCTATACCTCCTGTCTTGCCCGTATTTCCGGCTGTGCCCTACAGGAAACACAGAACAAAGTACTGGAAGCTAGAGAACACATCTAATCCTCACATATGTAAAACGGAAATGCTGCCATTTTCCAAAGTACTCATCGTCCACATCCGGTCGTCTGGATCAGTGACACTACCATCAGATAAACGCCGTGAACAGCAACATTTCAGCTGTATGACGGCGGTTTGTAAATAATCGCGTCTGGACCAGACTAGCCAGTGATTGACAACATAATCACTGATATACACCTCAAGGATATGAGATACATTTAGAATGGAGCGAACCTGACAACCCGACCCCGTCAATCACCGAGTACGACACCCCTTCCCCCCCTTGAAACTGACTAAACGCCAAACACCACATTAAAGTTTATGTTTGTTGGATCCGTCTATGGCGTCCCCAAAAAGTTATGCGAGACAAACACAGTTGGAGTCCTGCAGGTGCCCTGACTTTACCTTCATCCCCTGTGGCCCTTCCTCGCCAGTAGCTCCCCTCTGACCCTGCAATACACGGACACACAGACACACTGACAGATATAATACAGCCAGTATAACTTAACACACAAGTACATGTACTGTTACAAATATATCGGAATATTCAACATAACGTTTAAACGTCAGCTCCAGCTATTGCTCAGGTATTTTCATCACTTCGCCATTATCGAAAACAGTAAATAAGTTTTCCTTCCAAGTTGCGGATTTAGTGTATCGATATTCTCCTCCTTCATGCTGACTATTGGAGTTTAATGGCGACATCTATATCAATACTTAGCAACAGAAGTATTACATCACAATCCAGGTCCCTGATGAACTTACCGTGCGGCCTACTGCTCCTCGCTGTCCTGGGGGACCTGTCCGCCCAATCTGCCCCTGTTCGAAGACACATGAGGTTTACCGCTATCAAGCACCTGTTATTGCTGCCATTACTTACCTAGGTGCCTAGAGTTACGGGGCAGGCTTTACATGCACGGTTTCAGTGATCTATGCTAGTGAGTTACTGCAATCATCTATGTCAATATGTTAACACCAAACGTTACAACAGGCATGTCTAATCTAAATGTCAGATCATGTTATTGTCGTTAGGATCAGACTCAGAAACAAAGTAGAAGACACTCAGATGTAAGCTGAAAATCTTAACAGATTTGAAATGGGTTATGTTATGGTGTAGTTGGTAGTGATGTAACATCTGTCCAACCACGGGCCACTCACATCTTTGCCTGTCTTGCCTGGCGTACCGGGGTTTCCTGATTGTCCGGGATTTCCCTGGCAACATATGATGTCATAATGTTTCCATGGTTACTTTACCACATTACCTACGGCATATATTTGGCGGGCATAGATTACTGATGGCCGATTTGGGCCGGATGTTGTTAAGAAGTTCTCAGCTGATCTGTTATTGTGTTACGTCTAAGCACCATGCACGCTGTCGTTAGGGCAGTCAGTTAGTTCACTTCAAAAAAGAAACTGCAGATTGAGTCTGAGACTTCAAGACAGAGAGGGCAGAAGCAATGAACAATGGCCACTACAGTAATCATAGCCCGCGGAAACATGTTCAGGTCTATTACATGTTGTTTGTAGTAACATTACTTCGGCAATGGTTACACTGTCGCCATGTTTTGTCCATGTTCATTGCTAATGCTGCTATTACTGAGAAAGTAAGTTGTCAGATCCACTGCATCACCATGGCAACCGGCTACTCACGTCCCGCCCTGACTCCCCCTTCTGCCCCATCTTCCCGTCCTGTCCATCCTTCCCGTCAGCGCCTGCTGGTCCTATTGGACCCGCTGGACCTGGGGGTCCTGCTGGACCCTACAACACAGACATTCAACAGTCAACCATCACAGCCCTGCTATCAAGATATACACTCCCTCTCTATTCCCAAACTACGAACTCTAACCTGATGAACCAGATGATCAGATGATTACAACCCACCCGACCCCTAATACAGCATCGATGTTGTTTCTATTAAAGAATTCCAGGTGTTTCGAGATCCTGTTCCACCACTAGCACACAGGGGGCGGCGTCTTCTACAGCAGAACACACACTTTCCTTCAATCATTCCAACAGTTGTTACCGATTGATTCTAATGGCGTAGAAAATCTATATTGCTACACACTGTATTCCATAGCGGATAATACTAGAAATGGGCTTCATTTAACCCAAAAGTGGAATCGAACCCGTGCCTGGAGCGTGACGAGCAAACAACCCCCTACCTACCCTCGTTAAACCACAGTATGTATGCCACTATAGCAGGTTCATGGAGCAGAGGACGATTACACCATTACAGGTCCTATGTGCATTGTTCATCTCGAGTTACACGTCCCTACAGGTTACACAACAACAAGGAAGTTGGGAATATATTCGGTGTACTCACATGTACATAGTCGGTAATATATTTTATATTCGGTGTACTCACATGTACATAGTCGGTAATATATTTGGGAGTACATCGGGTTGGGATCGGGGAGACATTTTATCTTCGTCATGCTTATAGTCGTGTATTCCATGGGAGGGATACGTGGGGATACATGTGTGATGGTATAACTTGGTTATAATCTGGTAATACTGGCCTTACCCTGCAGGGCTGCTTCTCCCAGTCGCCACTACCTGAATACCTTACACTGAAGCTGGCGACTTTAACACAGTTGCACATAGTATTATGAGAAACGGTTGGATCTTCAGTACAGCTGTTTTCGTGGGACGATCGTTACAATTGTTTCTTTGTACACAATTTTCATCAAAAATCAGTGATTCTTTGGGAGTTATTACGAGAAAAATCTCTGTGTATATCCATATCAAGTGATGGAGCATATGTCTGATTTACCGTTAGGTATGTCTCCGAGCAGGTGCTCTATCTAATTGTTAGTACACGACACAGACCATCAAATGATTAACAGAAACTCAAACAGCAAATACAATCAACCGGACTTCGCGTTATCCCAGGCCACGTGACCCTGTAAGGAAACTCTACATCGTACAAAACCAACCTGTGTCCCATTCAAACCAGGAGGTCCTCGTGGGCAGGGCTTGTCACAGCTAGCCTTCCTCTGCAATACATATACACATGCAGTCATTTATGCTTAATTTGAAGTTTACGCGCGGCAAGGGGAGACAACACACGGCAACTGACAAAATACACACACAATACACTCAAACAGCCAATTTTTTTCAATTCAAAGCTGATTCAGTTATCAAAATTGTATCTATGGTTTACAGAAAGGCTATGTAAACGTGTTACTTCTTATGTTGGAGACTTGTAGAACGTGACTGAAGCGCATGGTCCGCCGGGACGCGAGTACAGGCTAGGATAGGCTGACCACACCTTCAACTAGTAGCCACAAATGCCCAACTCAGCAAGTAACGTTTACACATTTCAGAATACGTTGAAGGATTAATCATTTTCATGTGAAAATCGCCAAACAAAACAATCACAAACAACAGGAACAGGCCATTTGCTAGCCAGAAGTAAACACCAGAGCTAAATATACGCCAGCGGTGACAGCAGCGACGTCAGTGTTCACTTATGCCTAGCGACATCAACAACAGCCACATGCAGATGCAATGGGAGGTAAAGACCAGCATTGTGCGCCTCTGTTGGGCGTGGCACTCTACCTGTTTCGGTGGTGGTGGAGGTTTTATCTTCTTTTTGGGGGGCTGAGAAAGAGAAAGTAAAAGTCAAGCACGTGACCAAATCTCTAGAGATTCCACGTGAGGTCCCGTCACCACACGGAATACGACAGGATATACAACATGGACCCTTCACCATTCATATAAAGCTACACTGATCAAGAGCACATACATAGCATGATGCTGTAAATATTGAATACTTAGAACATGACTATTCAGAAATAACAATAACAAAAATGGGAGTCACTTCAATGGCATCACTCGGTAAAAGACGTATAGCATTATGCCAAATGTCTGCAGATAAATAAACCAACACACCTTGTCTAAGTGTTTGTTCCTTATGAAAATAACTATTACACAACCAACTGTCTATTCATTGGTTTTAGGCCTGCCTGTCAAGGCCCCAATAGCGATAGAAGTAATGTATATGAGTGAAGCTAGACAGTGAGATAACAGCACAATATGATCAGGAAGCAAGCTTCCACACTGTGGTATATATAGTCGTATTGAGAACACACCCCGTTCAGTCCTTACTACATCGAAGATGCTTGGGTGAAAGTGAAAGATGCTGGTGTAAATTCCTTTGCTTAAGTATGTTGTTCTGACTGAAATAGTGCGTCCTGGAAATAGGTCCCTTGTGAGTGACGTGAGCAGCAGAGATATACGTCTTGAAGCAGAGTTACAGCCGATCAACAGCTCAGACGCACCGCCTGCGCTGCAAGGAGTATATGTCTGATCCCCAGCGTGGTAATGCAGGGTTGCCTCTTTCGCCTTTTCTTATTAATTCGACATGGGTATGATGCCATACAGTGGAAGGCCCATTTAATTCTGTGTACTCTTGTTACAATTAATGTTTTATACGCTATTTATTTAGCAGGCAGCTGCTTGGCGAGTTACAAGGCGCTGCAAGCGACGAGCAAAATTTGTATCAGGTTATACTTTAGCTGAAAGTGAACCTTTGATTAAACAAATTTAGAAAGGATGAAAACAGCACGTAAAAACGCGTTAAAGATATTCATCTTAAATTATTAAGATTTCTACATAGAAATAATTAATTAAATACAAATAATTCTAAATGGATTTTTAAATAATGCAATCAGCCATGTAATCATACTTTAAATAGCCAACAACACTGCCACATGTAACTAGTTGCTGATACTGATGTTCACTGGATATGAAATATGCAAATACATATCATAGCACTCTGTTGCCATATAACCATATACCTCAACAAAACGTTTAGGAACCGAAAACTAAGACACTGCATAAACGCATGTTCCTACAAATCTGATGTTTTCAAAAGTATACATTTAGACACAAATATCTGGACGTGTATTTGCAATTATGTTGATCGTGATTCATGCTGATGCTGCTATTGCTTGGACCGTGCACATATATAGCTGTCTCGGGCCCACGGCTAGCGGTCCACACTTACAGGTAGTTCATCGCACTGCTCTCGTTCTGGCTTGGAGGGGTCACAATGTAGGTTAATCCACTGCAGCTCGAACTGTGGGGAGGACAAACATGGATGTACCGACACATTCTTGTACGTGGAAAAGTCGACTTCACTTCAAATGAAAGGATGTCGAGTTAGGTTTAATACTATATGTCATCACAGATGTGATTCATGTGACGTATGATAATACTTAATGGACGTACATACAATGCTGAGTGTGACTGTTATTCAATTGAGTTTCATGTGGTCTATTATTGGGGATACTGACACTGTGTTAATAATGATATTCCTGCAAATTGCACAGTGTGTAATCGGCTAGATGATGTGGCTCATTTTTTACTGCACTGCCAAAAATATGTAACTCATCGTAAGGCGATGGTGGGATCTTTGACAGCGCTTAATATTGACATCTCATTGACTGGACTGTTGTGTACAAGTAATATCACTCGCAATGATGTTCAGAATGTCATTCTTGCTTACATTAAAGCGTGTGGCAGCTTAACTACTTTATAAAAGTGTATAAACTTAGCAAACCTTTATGATGGGCAAGGTGTAAATGGGCCCAGTTGCCCGAACACCTATCAAACTTTCAGTTATCTATCTATCTATCTATCTACTGTGTGTGACTTTGGTGTATGTACATTAACGTCAAGGACAGAAATAACCAGTCTCCAGTATCTGACAAAACAGATGCCACTTTGTGTTAAAGCGTTGTACATTATTGTACGTTTGGATCATCTGTACTGTCACTCGTAGTAATCTTACAGCGAAAACAGGCCAGGAACACCAAGTTTGGGATTCACACAGTGCACCTATATAGGGAGTCGATCCCTGGTCTTCGGCGTTACGAGCGAACACTTTCCCCACTGGGCTAGCCGGATTCTGCGCATGCTACATAAGTCGAAGGAAACACAATGTGTCTGTGACCTGTTCGTCTTTATTATGTCATGTGGTACTAGAGGACTATAGGAAGATCGCTCACCGGCACGGTCCCACCATCCGGCTCCCTCGTCCCCAACACGATCTCTCCATTCACGTCGATCTGTCTGGGGGGTATGAGAGGCTGGGAGGATATCGGCTTGCAGTCGAGATAAAACTCCACATATTCCCGACCTACACTAAAATGGATTTTATGCCAGTCTTTGCTAAATAGCTGAAACAAAGAGGGATAAAGTTAACACAGGCCAACATCGTATAGAAGGGGGTTTTATTAAATACAGCTTTACATAAAAGTCCAGTCAACTTGTATATCGTTGCGATTACCTTTTGTTTTGACAAACGAGCCATGCATGAGATGTCTTCATGATTGTTAGAGAACACATTAAATTTAAACATTACGATCGTGATTATAACACTAATGTTCCAATAATATCCAATCCAAAATATATACGTACCTGCTTTGCTTTGTTATTAAACTTTAATGTTGTCAATTTTCCTTCAAAATTGATATAATAATATTCTATTGTTTTCTGTTTTCCGTCCAGCCGTATTCCAAATTGTGGATTGCCTTGAATATCCCTTATTTGAAATAAATTCCATCTATCTCGCCGAGTTTTGCCACTCATTCGAAATGTGCTAACAAATGAAAACTGGTCGGGGAGACCCTGGGGAAAGAGATCCCTGAAAACAAAGACGAAACTTGGATTGTAGAAAAATATCGAAATAGCTGAATATATATAGAAGCATTTAGGCACGTGCTACAGCAAAACAACTATATCATAGTGAGGATCTGGCAGTGATTGGAGTCTTAAAGTCTCCAAGAAATACCAGCCTACAGTCAGCTTTATTACAGTTATAACACGTCGAAATAAAGTCAGCATTATTACAGTTATAACACGGCGACATAAAGTCAGCATTATTACAGTTATAACACGGCGACATGTAGTCAATATTATAACAGTTATAACACGGCGACATGTAGTCAACATTATTACAGTTATAACACGGCGACATGTAGTCAGCATTATTACAGTTATAACACGGCGTCATGTAGTCAACATTATTACAGTTATAACACGGAGTCATGTAGTCAGCATTATTACAGTTATAACACGGCGACATGTAGTCAGCATTATTACAGTTATAACAAGGCGACATGTAGTCAGCATTATTACAGTTATAACACGGCGACATAAAGTCAGCTTTATTACAGTTATAACACGCGACATATAGTCAGCATTATTAACAGTTATAACACGGCGACATGTAGTCAGCATTATTACAGTTATAACACGGCGACATGTAGTCAGCATTATTTCAGTAATAACACGGCGACATGTAGTCAGCAATATTACAGTTATAACACGGCGACATGTAGTCAGCATTATTACAGTTATAACACGGCGACATGTATTCAACATTATTACAGTTATAACACGGCGACATGTGGTCAGCATTATTACAGTTATAACACGGCGTCATGAAGTCAACATTATTACAGTTACAACACTGCGACATGTAGTCGGCATTATTACAATTATAACACGACGACATGTAGTCAGCATTATTACAGTAATAACACGGCGACATGTAGTTAGCAATATTACAGTTATAACACGGCGACATGTAGTCAGCATTATTACAGTTGTAACACGGCGTCATGTATTCAACATTATTACAATTATAACACAGCGACATGTGGTCAGCATTATTACAGTTATAACAGGGCGACATGTAGTCAGCATTATAACAGTTATAACACGGCGTCATGTATTCAACATTATTACAATTATAACACGGCGACATGTGGTCAGCATTATTACAGTTATAACACGGAGACACGTAGTCAGCAATATTACTGTTATAACACGGCGACATGTATTCAACATTATTACAGTTATAACACGGCGACATGTGGTCAGCATTATTAAAGTTATAACACGGCGTCATGAAGTCAACATTATTACAGTTACAACACGGCGACATGTAGTCGGCATTATTACAGCTATAACACGGAGACACGTAGTCAGCATTATTACAGTTGTAACTCGGCGTCATGTATTCAACATTATTACAATTATAACACGGCGACATGTGGTCAGCATTATTAAAGTTATAACACGGCGTCATGAAGTCAACATTATTACAGTTACAACACGGCGACATGTAGTCAACATTATTACAGTTATAACACGGCGACATGTATTCAGCATTATTACAGTTATAACACGGCGACATGTATTCAACATTATTACAGCTATAACACGGCGACACGTAGTCAGCAATATTACTGTTATAACACGGCGACATGTATTCAGCTTTGTTACAGTTATAACACGGTGACATGTGGTCAGCATTATTACAGTTATAACAGCGACGTGTAGTCAGCATTATTACAGTTATAAGACGGCGACATGAGTCGGCATTATGACAGTTATAACACGGCGACATGTGGTCAGCAGTATTTCAGTTATAACACGGCGACGTGTAGTCAGCATTATTACTATTACCCGACTAACGGGGTCGGGCGGTTAGGCTCGCTGACTTGGTTGACACATGTCATCGTATCCCAATTGCGTAGATCGATGCTCATGCTGTTGATCATTGGACTGTCTACTCCAGACTCGATTATTTACAGACCGCCGCCATATAGCTGGATTATTGCTGAGTGCGAAGTAAAACTAAACTTATTCACTCACAGGTATATAACGACTGCCCCCAGGCATCAATATTCCACGGTGTTAGTGATGTGTCACTGAGGCCATAACAAGGTAAGGTTACATTTACAGCCAGAATGCCTTCAGTCAGCAGTATTGATGGTATACAGACGTATCGCTTTCAAGGCCTTCTCTGACACGAATGGGACAACGACACCGCTAGGATCGACCCCTAGGTCCACGGCAACACATGTGTTCTGAGACAGGTATGGGATCTGAACACAGCAGTATGGCGTCTATGTTTACCGTACTACAGATGATCAACTACACCAGTATGAGGTATATTTCACTTACGTGGTTCGTTTCCGTAATTTTGCTCTTCTACCGATTTTATATGCTACTTGGAAGTCATTTGACCCTTTGACCCTCTTGACGCCCGGTACCCGTATATCATCATTGTCTAACGAAAACTTAGATATAAAATCAAAACCTGAAAGTAAAGAAAGAAATGAATGTAATCGCTTGAATAGGTGTATCAATGTTTATGCTATATATGTCGAAAATATACAAGAACACATATACAAAGGAACAATTTGAAATGAAATCGACTTGTTTAGTGGTATATTTACTTGTTGATGTGATGTATGTGGTGCAGTGGTGTTATGTTTGCCTTATCTGCTCGAGTCTATACCAACCTACACACTCTGCTTGACGCCAGCTCCCAGGACACATGGCCTTGAATATACAGAAATACTCATTTAACGATGTTGATTCCCTCTGTCATATACACGCAGCGTCATTTCCCATTTGAACATTTTACAGCAGAAAAGATGAAACTGAAATCTGGATGTTCCCTTGTTACTCGGGGCAATAGGAGCATGTATCTGCTCCGTCAGCGTGTTGTTGTTGTACCAGACAGTAGCTGCTCTTTAACAACATTCCTGGAGTGTCACTGCATGTGATGTTGGTGCCATGGTCTTACTTCCTGCTCTTCAAATGAGCTATTCTGAGTTTGTACACAGACAAGACGCAGGCACGGAGAGTGCTTGCTAGCTTCTTCAACGCTGATTCAGCAGTGATGCCATCATATCTTTGTTTGTTTACAAAATCTGATGGGAATCTGGTTATACTTTTGTCCTGCCATCATCATGCTTTCAATGTCATCCACACAGGTTTTATCGCGTGGTGGCCAGCATCTTTCAATGTCATCCACACATCCGCGCGCTGTTATCTCAAGGCTTTATCGCGCGGTGGCCAGCATCTTTCAATGTCATCCACACATCCGCGCGCTGTTATCTCAAAGCTTTATCGCGCGGTGGCCAGCATCTTTCAATGTCATCCACACATCCACGCGCTGTTATCTCAAGGTTTTATCGCGCGGTGGACAGCATCTTTCAATGTCATCCACACATCCACGCGCTGTTATCTCAAGGCTTTATCGCGCGATGGCCAGCATCTTTCAATGTCATCCACACATCCACGCGCTGTTATTTCAAGGCTTTATCGTGCGGTGGCCAGCATCTTTCAATGTCATCCACACATCCACGCGCTGTTATCTCAAGGCTTTATCGCGCGGTGGCCAGCATCTTTCAATGTCATCCACACATCCACGCGCTGTTATCTCAAGGCTTTATCGTGCGATGGCCAGCATCTTTCAATGTCATCCACACATCCACGCGCTGTTATCTCAAGGCTTTATCGCGCGGTGGCCAGCATCTTTCAATGTCATCCACACATCCACGCGCTGTTATCTCAAGGCTTTATCGCGTGGTGGCCAGCATCGTTAAATGTCATCCACACATCCACGCGCTGTTATCTCAAGGTTTTATCGCGTGGTGGCCAGCATCTTTCAATGCCATCCACACATCCACGCGCTGTTATCTCAAGGCTTTATCGCGCGGTGGCCAGCATCTTTCAATGTCATCCACATCCGCGCGCTGTTATCTCAAGGTTTTATCGCGTGGTGGCCAGCATCTTTCAATGCCATCCACACATCCACGCGCTGTTATCTCAAGGTTTTATCGCGTGGTGGCCAGCATCTTTCAATGTCATCCACACATCCACGCGCTGTTATCTCAAGGTTTTATCGCATGGTGGCCAGCATCTTTCAATGCCATCCACACATCCACGCGCTGTTATCTCAAGGCTTTATCGCGCTGTGGCCAGCATCTTTCAATGTCATCCACACATCCACGCGCTGTTATCTCAAGGCTTTATCGCGCGGTGGCCAGCATCTTTCAATGCCATCCACACATCCACGCGCTGTTATCTCAAGGTTTTATCGCGTGGTGGCCAGCATCTTTCAATGCCATCCACACATCCACGCGCTGTTATCTCAAGGTTTTATCGCGTGGTGGCCAGCAGCTTTCAATGTCATCCACACATCCACGCGCTGTTATCTCAAGGCTTTATCGTGCGGTGGCCACACATTCCTCCATGTTGATGAACTAGCCACAGACAACTACAACTAGATAACTAGATGTGCCCCTGAACCACTGCTATAAGACCTCTATAACGGGGGCTCACATTCCTCCATGTTGATGAACTAGCTACAGACAACTACAACTAGATAACTAGATGTGCCCCTGACCAACTGCTATAAGACCACTATAACGGGGGCACACAATCCTCCATGTTGATGACCTAGCCACAGACAACTACAACTAGATAACTAGATGTGCCCCTGACCAACTGCTATAAGACCACTATAACGGGGGCACACAATCCTCCATGTTGATGAACTAGCCACAGACAACTACAACTAGATAACTAGATGTGCCCCTGAACCACTGCTATAAGACCTCTATAACGGGGGCACACATTCCTCCATGTTGATGAACTAGCCACAGACAACTACAACTAGATAACTTCTATAATGTCTGTGCAGTCGACATAACTATGATGGTCATCCATTCACATATATATCCCAGTATACCCATAGTCGTACATCCCTTCACAAACACTTGGAAATGTCACATTATATTCATAACACTCCACCTTCCTTGGCGATATCAAAGGCATACCCCTCAATTTCTATAACAATATCATGTTCAACTCTCTCGTGAGGAGCACGTGCAAACATAACTTCCCTTGTACTTCGCGTTCTGTTTGCATAGCTCGACATACGCGAGAGAATGGTGGTAACACCGGCAGATTGTACACACGACATACTGGACACAAACTCCCAGCATCACTCCTCCTGCTCTCCACACTCGCTCTCACCAAGGCTTTACGTAATCAGTATTTGTACAATGTGACAATGTTTGTAAACATATTGAAACGTGATGTAATTAATGTGCATCTGAATTTTTTGGGTCAGAGCTCATGGTATGTACAGGGTGGTAGATAATGGCGGGAGGATCAGCTGCTGTTGAGATCGCCGAGATTTCCCCCCATCTTCCTGAGTGAAGGAGGTGTATTTGTACAAGAGAGAGAGCACGTGTTTGGGACCTTGTGATATGGGGGACTGGTGTGATATAGTGATACGCTAGAGTGGCGTGATATGGCAACTTATGCTACCATTACCTGACCTCCAGGTTAATATTGGCTTGGTGCCGAGACGCGGCCAGGACAGCTGGCAGCCGGATCTCGTTGCCATATGGAGTAATGGATTACTATTATTTGAGAACATACCATGCTAAGTTAGTCTGTGATATGGGGGATATGGTTGCAATTCCGCCGTTCGTTAACAGCCGCTCATACATCGAGGTGTTTCTAGGCATGCATGTATGTATGAGGCAGCAAATGGTAAGCTTATGTCTCGAGGAGTCTGAACAGAGCTCAGATAGATCTACAACGGGAGCTTCAGCTTTGTCATCAGCACTGAAGTTGTCGTGTAACGTCTGCACTTCGATCAGTTATTGCCCGAGTGAATATCACTACCACGACGGAGTCTTTATTGTCTCCTCATAAATGAGTATTTTGGATATTTCACCCATTTTTCGACCTACAGTCATAAGAATGGTTTGAAAGTCCACGATCGCGAGTTCCTTGAATGCTGCCTTAACATCAGACCTTAATGCTGCCTTAACATCAGACCTTAATGCTGCCTTAACATCAGACCTTAATGCTGCCTTAACATCAGACCTTAATGCTGCCTTAACATCAGACCTTAATGCTGCCTTAACATCAGACCTTAATGCTGCCTTAACATAAGACCTTAATGCTGCCTTAACATCAGACCTTAATTCTGCCTTAACATCAGACCTTAATTCTGCCTTAACATCAGACCTTAATGCTGCTTTAACATCAGACCGTAATGCTGCCTTAACATAAGACCTTAATGCTGCCTTAACATAAGACCTTAATGCTGCTTTAACATCAGACCGTAATGCTGCCTTAACATCAGACCTTAATGCTGCTTTAACATCAGACCGTAATGCTGCCTTAACATCAGACCTTAATGCTGCTTTAACATAAAACCTTAATGCTGCCTTAGCATAAGACCTTAATGCTGCCTTAACATACGAGCTTACTGATAACTACAGTGATGTGAGGGGAAAGCACTCCAGCTGAATACTGCCCACATTGGACAAGGTCAGTGGGATGAGGCACAGTTATTGTCTCAGCAGCAACTACAGTTGACCAGAAAGGCATGTGTACCAGTGACTCTTCCTGTGCTATTCTTTGCCACAAGCAAGCAAGCAAGCAAGAGCCTACCCGGCTACCTTCTTCAACAACGTCGCGGTTTCTCTGACGGACTGACACAGACTTATTTGGAAATTATATCAAATGTATGTTTTAAAGACTCAAAAACGTTCAATGGCAATAGCTCAAAGACCATCCAGTGTACAATGAAAATATACTGTGAAACGGTCTATGACCACGGTCACCAATAGTCACGACCGTTATGGTCACTTGATGGACAAAATATTGTGTATAGGAAATGTGTGAGAGAATGCATGCGTGAGAGAATGTATGCGTGAGAGAATGTATGCGTGAGCGAATGTGTGCGTATTATTTTGTGTAGCTGGCATATCTTCAGTTTTGTATTTGCCACGTGTCAATCGTGGGTCCCAAACAAGTTCACTGGAACAGCAGGGGGCGCGAGATGGCTACCAAATGTCTCCTATTGTTTACAACGCCATATTGAACCTATCACCATGCCCTGTCTACATCCAACATGGCAGCTGCATGTTTAACATTGCTAAGTGTGTGAAACGATTGTTTGTGCAATTTACTGAATGTTTGTACATGTATTGGCATAGACACGTGGCATGGACCGGAAGCCAGGCATTCTTGACATGACGCATGCGCAACTCACCCGGAAGGTCATCCTCGCCCGGTCTAATCTCAGGACATACTGCTGAAGGCTGTAGTATTTCTGAAATGAGAACATTACGTTTGTAATATCAATAAAACAACATGACACATATTTCACCATGGACAAGTTTATCCTTAATACAAACACTTCAGGGATGTAAGAATACCTTTTCATCATGTCAGGGACCAAACAATGCATGTCAAAAATAAAGAATGCCGTTTTCAATAATGATAAACCCTAAAAAATACCGAACAGGACAGAAAACGACTTTAATGGCAATACCTTCCTTATCCTGGACACTCCCAAGGGGATCAGGGCGAGGACAAAGAGGCGTGTATGCAAAGGGTACCGTTCGTGGTAAGTAGACTATATAAAACACGTGCACCAGGTAGAGAACGACATACAACCTTTGATTCAGACATATTTATGCGCCCAGATACATTCATCAGAGTGCATACTTCCTATTTCTGATTCATTCAGCTTGAACATGAAGCAGTCACGTCACAGTAAAGCGCCATGGCCGAGGGCGATGTAGGTGTAGGTGGCAGGCTGGTGTTTAGACTGGGCCATTGCCTCGGAATATACAGAATCTAAATAGAATCAAGTAATTCCATTTACACTGAAATGATCCCCAGGGACAGGGATGATTCCATAAGGCTTCCATAAGGCTTCAGCACTGCAGCAAGGGCTAGGCGGAAGGGGGCACAATAATAATAATAATTCATTTATATAGCGCCTAGAAACCATCTGACTAGTTGCTCACTGGACGCTGTAATCAGAATCTCATTATTATTACCCCGGATTACCCAAGCTGCCTGTTAGGAGCTAGAAGGTTAAAGTAATAGTCACATGACTTTATCCAACCGGGTTCCCATTTTCAGAGGCAGTTTTGAACAAACTCACTTGCCTAAGGTGACAACACATGTATTACATGTGCTTCGTTGTGTTGCAGGACTGGAGTCCTAGAAACTATCAGGAGTCAAGTTGCCTAACACGGTCACCCATCGACGTTGCTTATTTTCAACTGAATTCGTGACCTGAGCTGTACGCACAGGACCACACACCACCATGGGTGGGTCACGGACAGTGAGACAGACTGTCTGGTGTTTTGTGGGTTCTGATATGCAAGGTCACTGACACACTGCAACCGTTGCCACAGCAGACTACGTTCTATGGTCTCTGTAAAACAGTCGATATCATTACAGCATCAGTAAATGTAAACGACCAATGGTCGTCATCTTAATTGTATCCACACTAAACAGTCAGTGGCAGCAGAACTGTTCAGGGGAGACACCATCCAAGAGTCTGCATCTGGTCGATCCGCTTCCATCCTCCAGTGACGTGACCACAGCAATAGCTCTCACACCAGTGAGAGGGACCAGCATGACGCAGACGTAAGTTTAGATACAGACCTCCTCGCCCATCAGCCTTCTGTTTGCCTACATTCAGATGCTATTCATATACCTAACACCTTAATATGGTTTTATTACAGAACGTATGCTGCCTGGTTGTGTTTTCTTCGGCGTCTTTCATTAAACCGACAAAGTGACACTTGAGGTCCAGTCTACGTGACTACGCCAATGTAAGTGAATCTAGCCTCACCCCTCCGTCTCTCCCCACCCTGACTCACACCAACACACCTGCAGGCACGGAGGCTGGTCGGGAGGATAGGTAAAGGAAACGTTCAATGTTTGGCAATCAATGTGATGTTCGTTTCGTCAAATATATATTATAACACCTATTCATGTCATTGTTGGTTGTAATATTCACGCAAGGAAAGTGAAAATTCTTGAAATTTCTTCACATAAATGTAAAATGTTACGCGCGTTCTTGAACAATTACCCCCGTACGGTTGCATTCATCAATAATGTAGCATTGAAACTTTGTCATCTGCACCACTATGGTATGACAGCGGTACGAGCACTTTCCAGTCAGTTTGCAGGGTTAGATAATTGTATGTGTCATGTAGTTTCCTTGCCAGCAGTTGAATGGTCTTTTTGTACTTGATACAGAATAACATAGAGCTAATACGAATCCAAGTTACAAGATTTCTTGGTAGACAAGTATTCATAATCAGCGTCACACACAAACAAAAACATGTAAACTCACACCTGTCCATTTACATATACCTACATCTGTCCGTCACACGGCAAGTTAACAAAGGGATTCACGTATACCTACATCTGTCCGTCACACGGCAAGTTAACAAAGGGATTCACGTATACCTACATCAATCCGTCACACGGGAAGTTAACAAAGGGATTCACGTATACCTACATCTGTCCGTCACACGGCAAGTTAACAAAGGGATTCACGTATACCTACATCTGTCCGTCACACGGCAAGTTAACAAGGGGAATGACATATACCTACATCGGCCCGTCACACGGGAAGTTAACAAAGGGGATTCACGTATAACTACATCTGTGCATCACACAGCAAGTTAACAAGGGGAATGACGTATACCTACATCTGTCCGTCACACGGGAAGTTAACAAAGGGGTTCACGTATACCTACATCTGTCCGTCACACGGCAAGTTAACAAAGGGGATTCACGTATAACTACATCTGTGCATCACACAGCAAGTTAACAAGGGGAATTACATATACCTTCATCTGTCCGTCATACGGCAAGTTAACAAGGGGTATCACGTATACCTACATCTGTCCGTCACACAGCAAGTTAACAAGGGGATTCACGTATACCTACATCTGTGCGTCACACAGCAAGTTAACAAGGGGAATCACGTATACCTACATCTGTGCGTCACACGGCAAGTTAACAAAGGGATTCACGTATACCTACATCTGTCCGTCACACAGCAAGTTAACAAGGGGATTCACGTATACCCACATCTATCCGTCACACAGCAAGTTAACAAGGGGAATCACGTATACCTACATCTGTGCATCACACGGCAAGTTAACAAAGGGATTCACGTATTCCTACATCTCTGCGTCACACGGCAAGTTAACAAAGGGATTCACGTATACCTACATCTGTCCGTCACACGGGAAGTTAACAAAGGGATTCACGTATACCTACATCTGTGCGTCACACAGCAAGTTAACAAAGGGATTCACGTATACCTACATCTGTGCGTCACACAGCAAGTTAACAATGGGATTCACGTATACCTACATCTGTCCGTCACACAGCAAGTTAACAAGGGTAATCACGTATACCTACATCTGTCCGTCACACAGCAAGTAAACAAGGGTAATCACGTATACCTACATCTGTCCGTCACACAGCAAGTAAACAAGGGTAATCACGTATACCTACATCTGTCCGTCACACAGCAAGTTAACAAGGGTAATCACGTATACCTACATCTGTCCGTCACACAGCAAGTTAACATGGGGATTCAGGCATCAAGTTCCCCCTGGACACCCTGGTGTGTGTGTTAAGATCTAGTTCTCCATGCACGTTACATGTAATTCCTGTATCACGCCTCAGCAGGTCCAGTTACAGCCGTCATCGGTGCTAAACCTTTCACCACCACGAAGACTCCATGGTGAAGAGAGGATCCATAGATTATCTCTGTACACATCCAAACATTTTGTCAAGGTGTCGATTCTTCAAGTCCAGGAAGAAGGAAGAGGAAGGCTGGGTTGAGAGGTGGGGATGACTGGGTAGTGGTGGGGGTGTGTGGAGGGGGCGTAATGGATGTTGGCCTGATTTGTCCAGGGGCCGCTTTATCAACAAGTCTTTAGTTTTTTATGCAACTATTATTTCCTGCTGTTTGTACTCAAACCTTCGAAAAAGATTTGTTGTAAAATATACAGCTGAGGTTGAGAATCGGGTTTCTCGTAGAATTAGATTGTTTATAAGATTTGTTGATATAGCTAGCATCGTGTTCGTGATTTGTGTTTGCATTTCTCACGTGTATTTATCCAGCAAGAACGAAATGAAAAGCACGTGTCGTTGGTGGATGTTACGGCTGTGTACATGGGGGGTAATTACGCAAAGAACAAACGCATGCTCATATGACTGAAACTCTCCTAAAACATCACACCCGTTGTTGACATTTAACTGTTGTTCGTGCTCTCGTGTTGCTGGAAAATATACCCCTGCGTTTACACGCGCAACTTTAAAAGAAATAGAAGTCATTGAAAAAGTGTGCATGTGCTTATTTGGGTTCTTCTACAATGTTTTTGCGATAAATCAAAACAAAATATTATTATAATATTATAACCGAATTTGAAGGAGACCTCTGTACAAATTCAATTTACAATGTGGGAAATTGTCGGAAAACATTTCACATTGTTGGTTTCATCGCTTAGTTCATCTGTACGTGAACATACATCGACACACGGCAACTGTACTCAGTGACCCCGAGGGTACGTATCGTTGGATAGTACCACAAAAACGTGGGGAATCCCTTCCAGCGCAAGACTGGTATCTGATCTTTTAACTCACGGCTTTTCAAAGTATATATGAAAATGTCGGCGCACAGACAATTGTTTTCATAGGTGAAGCACGTCATGTTTACTCAGAGGGAAGGGAGGGGGTACAGGGGCGCTGGGGTGGGAGAGGTATAGGTTGGAGTGAGTGAGTGAGTGTGTGGGGATGGGGGAGAGAACTAGAAGGAAGGGAGGGTATACAGGGATGATGGGATGAGAGAGAGGTGGACGTTGGAGTGAGTGTGAGGGTTGGGGTGGGGGTTCTGGTAGGAATGGAGGGTGTACAGGGATGGTGGGGTGGGAGAGGTATAGGTTGGAGTGAGTGTGAGGGGTGGGGTGGGGGTTCTGGTAGGAATGGAGGGTGTACAGTGATGGCGGGGTGGGAGAGGTATAGGTTGGAGTGAGTGAGTGAGTGAGTGTGGGGGATGGGGGTGGGGTAACTAGAAGGAAGGGAGGGTGTACACTGATGGCGGGGTGGGAGAGGTATAGGTTGAAGTGGGTCAGTACAGTTGGGGTTCTAATGTGCTTGTGATGATATAGACTCATGTTTAGTGTAACTATATGTAGTTCTTGATCTTGAATGGAGTAAACCAGGCTGAGTTATCTCCTGTGATATCAGTAAATAGTACTGAACGAAGTGGGATCAAATAGA